TCCTGGCCACCCACCGCATCGTGTGCCGTGCCAGCCTTCACAGGTGCTCTCAAACAAAACTTGCCCCAAACGTTTGTTTAGGCTATACAGAGGGGGGGGGGGGGGGTATTTGTATGCCACGTTATATAGCTAAAGATTGCGATGGAGCAGTAGCCCAGTGTTCTAATCACTGCGTTATGAACCCATCAGCAGTGGGAATGATATCAGAACTGATCTTGCTGCACCACTCCGCACCTCCCTCGCACCCATCTTAAATAACCCACACTGCTCTGCGCGGTGAAGTATGGTCCAATAACCCCCATGATCGACAGCCTGAGCAGACATTCATCAAGTAGTGTATTGACAAAGGGCTGCAAAATTACCATTTAATGAATATATCCCTAGAGGAAGCGATAACAAGAGATAGATGCAGAAGCACATCGTAGAGCACAGTTGGAGGGACAATGAAAATATTTTGGGAACGTAAAGAGGCACACTGAGCTAATGCTGGGCTGGTTGTGGGTTTCACACCTGATGATGATTGCTTGTGTTACAGTCGAAACGTCGTGAGAATTTTATTGTTTTATATATGTTTTAATTATTTTATTGCTTCCCTTCTACGTGACTTTACCGAAAGAACCAAGAATATGCTGGGCTGGTTTTTAAGAGTTGACATGCTAATTATTAGGGATGTATTGTTTTGTCCACCCTTGGAATCAATAAATGATGATGCGATTTGATTCAATAATCCATTGGACATCTGTGAAAAAGAGTTTTATAGGTCATCGAATTCCTCCAGTATAAAAAAAATCGGATAGTTTTTTTATTGTGCTGAATGTAGTGGCCTCTTCTTAGTGGCTCGGCGGGGTTCACTTGAACCCGTTACAAACTTTGAACGTTGCCGTCTGCCGGCGCACTTTTAAACTTCTGCAGACTTCTGCCAGCCTCCTACGAGTTCTGCATCATGCAATCACATGGCTGCAGTGAGTCACCCCCGTTGGCTGGACAGGGAGACTGGGGGTCTCGCGTGGTTTTCACCTTGACCGGTGGTTTGCATATTTGACCGTAACACTGTGTTAAGAACCTGAGACACCCTGGCTGCATCTGTGAGAATGATCACCCCCCCCCCCCCCCCCCCAAATTTCTCGCAACGTGAACAGTTGTTCCCACACTGTTGGGGAGAAATTCTCAAAAAAGCTCTTAAGAGTGAAACGTAACAGCATTCCTTTGGCTAAATCAAGAGATGTGTGAAACAGCATCGGTTTTTAAGTTGACTCCCCATCATTGTTTTGAACGTTTAGAATCAACGGCGCCATTTGTCACACATTCCAGGGGGAAGCGAGGAAGCTTAAAGGGGGGCTTGAAGACATTTGCAGCACCGTTGAAATATTTAAATAGCATATTTTGAAAGCATTTGGCTTCAGTGATTCTGCATGTCGTTATGATATCTGCATGTGATTTCATCCACGTTTGAATTGGTAAAAAAAAATGCTATACAGAATAGAACCGAACATTTTATTTTTGGTAGCCCAAATATGGTTCTAAATGTTTATTCTCCTTTAGATTTGCAGTTTTCCAGAAGCCCAATGGCAATTGAATTAGGGCATTCTTCAGAGAGTTGCAAATTTCAGGTCAGGGGGTAAATTCACCCCCATCATCCCTCTAGAGTTGGTAAAATGAGTACCACTTTGTTGGAAGGGAACAATGTTCATTTTGAGGAATTATCCCTGTCATGGACTCACGTAATTTCTACTTCTGGCCACCAACAAGAGATGAGTGATGTAGAATTTCTCATTTGAGATTGGAGATGTTTTTGTTGCTTGGAATTGACAAAAAGCATAATTAAGAATAAGAGTTACTCTATATGGTGTCTAATATGCATTCAGTTAACCTCATGTATCAGAATGTAACCTAAACCATGGCCTGGAGCAGGGCCAACGATATATATATATTTTTGTGTAGATTCCCAAAGTGTTCATTTAACCGAGGCGACTTCAATTATTTAAATGTCGTAACAAAAGTCATTGAAGACGATGTATGCAATATGATTTTCTTGAATTGTTAATAATGAGACAGCTTCACAATGTGAGCGAGGGATCTGCTCATTCTTTGTTGCGTAGGAACATAACAAATATTGTAATTTTTTATAATTTTGTCTCATTTTGGATATATATGTATGGAATCACCAGTGGTAGTTACAGAGATACCTGCTATATTTAATTTAGCCTGTCATGTGTGTGCATATGTGTGCGCGTATGTGATGTGGGTATGTGACGTTTTCGTAGTGGTGGTACACAGGAGTGCGCACACTGTGATGAACCCAGTAACCCGAGTAATTTTCCAGCACATCAGTGGCGAGTGGCAGCTAAATCAGTTCTGGGTCTCCCTTAGGTCAACATCTGAGCCTTTAGTAAGTACCTGCTGCAGTGTGTAAACATCGGCACTGGGAAGACAAAGGTGGCCGGGTGCAGTGATGGCCACATCACCCCACACTTCTGTGGCAAGCAGCATTAATCAGCCATTTACTAACAGCACTTGCCCCATATGATAATTGTTTTTTTACCCATTTATCTGGCAACAAAACTGATACCTTTTTTACAAAGAGTCATGTTTACATTGACCACAATACCTGCGGTCGGAACGCAAACAAAAAAAACAACAACTCTGATAATGTATGTGGCACTGTCCTTGAAATTGATTGGTCCACACCCGAGACAGCTTTCTTTAGAGCCTCGTCTCACATGGTGTTAGACCAGAAGACGCCAAAAGGTGCACAACTCAAAGACAATGCACCATCAGAGTATGAGAGCTCGGGGTTAGCATTTACACCATTGGAAACCTCATTTGCCAGTAACAAAATATGATCATTGTTTTTTTATCCTATTATCTGGCAACAAAACTGACACCTCTTTTCTACAAGGAGTCATCTTTACATTGACCACAATACCTGCGGTTGGAACGCAAACAAAAAAACAACAACTCTGATAATGTATGCACTGTCCTTGAAATTGATTGGTCCACACCCGAGACAGCTTTCTTTAGAGCCTCGTCTCACATGGTGTTGGACCAGAAGACGCCAAAAGGCGCACAGCTCAAAGACAATGCACCATCAGAGTATCAGAGCTCGGGGTAAGCATTGTAAAAAAGGTGTCAGTTTTGTTGCCAGATAAAAGGGTAAAAAAAACAATGATCATATTTTGTTACTGGCAAATGAGGTTTCCCAATGGAGCACATGCCCCAACAGTCTATAAGGCTGTACAGTGTTCCTTGAGTTTGGCTTTTTACGGTGCACCAATATATAATGTCCTTTCAACTTAAACCTGTTTGCTATCAGGTATTGAATCGAGGGCACAGCTGGTTTCTGTTTAAGAAAGTCTCTTCAACCTGGTATGCTTCCAGTTAGCGAGCCTGCTCTCTGTGGGCTGTTGAGAGCCGCCTGTTTTTTTTCAAAAAACCCGTGTCCGGGGTCTGTCACGTGCGCTCACGTGGTTTGTGCATTGAGGTTTTCGCATGTGCAGCTAATTTGACCTATCCAAGAAATCTGCACACTTCATTTCAACAAACACTGCAGAGTCAAGTCTGGGCAGAGTGATTTTTCTTTCTTTGTCTGACGGATGTATTTTTAAGAATTCGTGGTAGTCACACCTCTTCAACAATATTCCTGGTAGATTTGCGGCCTTTTTTTTAAAGCGCTCACAAACGCCGTGCATTTGCGTCTTATTAAATCATAAAACCGCGTGTTTATAGGTAGTTCCTGCTTGGTAAAAAAAATTGCCCCATACTCCTTTTGGATCACTCGCTTTAAAAAATACTCGCGCATTCCGTATTTTTTTCTGCTGGTTTTTCGCAACCGCTGTGAGAGTGCACTCGGTTTTGTCTTGTCATTGGAGCTCAAGGTGCTTCTTGTCAATTCCACGATGATGGAATTACACACACGACAAAGTAGGTCCTGAGCCAGTGGTGCAAAATACTTCTTTATATGTGGCAGGGGCCAACTTATACATTGGTTAACCACTGTTGATTTCCCACAATGTGCTTCCTTTTATTATCTACCCGAGAAGGATTTGATTCGGCACGTATTTTGTCACACAACCACCACAACTACGGGATATATAAGCACTTTTTCAACGTTATTATATCATCTGCAAATTATGCTGAAGTGAAACGTGCATTCATCAGGTTTCAAGACTGTATATTTGAGTTTGCATATCCTCCTTGTGGTCTCGTGGAGGTTTTCCTCTGGATTCTCTGTTTTTCCTCTCTACATTTAGAAACATGCATTGAGCTTATTTTGCTGCTATAAATGTACAAACGATAAGCCACTGAGCTATGATTTTGTGGCCAGGTCGTTTCTGAAAAAATACACGAATACCTTGGTGGGCTTTTCCTGGCAGGATGGGGATGGTTAAGTTGTATTTGTACGTGTTTGGGTAATTGGTTTGCCTTGTACTTGGCACTACTATCGTGTTTTTTGTATTGTTTGTTGTAACGTTCTTACCCGCTCCTACTGGACATCTGTGAAAAAGAGCTTTATAGCTCATCAGATTCCTCCAGTATAAATGAATATTGTCATTATATCCCTATATATTTTACTGGACTGGGCTGCAAATGCACTTGTGCTCCTGGCAAATGATGCTGCTAATGATGATATAAACATTAGCTATATAACCTTTAACCCTGCTTCAAGCAAGCTGTGGAAATTGTTGCATTTTTATATTATAATTCAGTTATTTTCTGTATCGTTTTTATCATCTAATTTGTCTCATTTGTAGCATATAGTTGTGTTTGCTATTACTCACCCTAAACTCATTGGAATATAATGGTAGCTAATTTGCTTACGTAATAAATAATCGAATCTCATGATTCCATGTACGTAGCATGGACAATAAGAATCGACATGAGTCGATGAACCTATTCATCATTCGCGCTGAATGAGGATGGACTTGCATTGCCCCGTGCATTGACCTCCCGTCCCTGTGTGCGTGCACTGCGTGACCACCACCTTGCTCTGTGTTTTACAGTGGAGAGAGCGGTGCTGGAAAGACCGTGGCAGCCAAGTACATTATGAGCTATGTCTCCAAAGTGTCTGGAGGAGGCTCAAAAGTGCAGGTGGGAGCAGCCTCGGGTCACACTAATCTCATCGCTCTTCATCACCATCCATTAGAATGGAGGCTGACTCAACCCCTACCCCCCCCCCCCCCCCCCGTCAGCCCAAACGAGTGCGCGTCCTGTCAACGTTTAGAGTGCTGCTCAGTGCGCCGCTGGTGGGGTGGTTTTCGATTCTAACTTTAATACGGTGACCTTTACTAATGATAGCCACTCGGCACACTTGCGCCATTGTTTTATTTTTAGTCGCATTATTTTTAGTTGCTGAAATGAGTGTTGGGTGGTGTGCATCTTCCTTAGTGTCTGAGTCAGCAGTGGAAATTTCACATTTCTAGAGTAAGGGCCAGTCCATCTGTAGAACTTATCCTGTGTTGCCTTCCCACAGAGCGATACTTATTTTGGCAACCGTGGGGGAGAGCTTAGGCTGATTCAACCCGCAGTCAGCAATTGAACCTGCATCCATCCAATTGCAAGTTGAGCACGCTTGTAATATAACATAACACTTGGAAATTGTTACTGATACAACTGTTTACAATACGAATATCCGCTGAATTCCTTTACAAAGTGAATAAAAAAACGTTATGTTTACAACAGTGGATTATTTCATCTCTCTATGCTTTGAAGTGGGCTGTATCCTCTCGTATATGTGGGTCATCTGCAGACACTCTGGTTTCCTCCCCCATTCCAAACACTCATTTTTTGGAATTGTCCAAACGTCCCAATGCATGACTCTTCCGAAAAAGAGTCATGAGAATAGGGTGAAGGCTTTGTTGTAAAAACTACACGCATCATTATTATGATACTAAAATCAACAGGAACACCGACTTACATTGTGACCTAATTGTAATGTCAAATTAAAACATGTAGTGTACAAAAGCATCTTTAAACAACACGATCCTAACAACTAAGTTCTGCTCTTATTAATCAATTACAGCAGTTAAGTAGCAACGGCAGATGCTGCTGTGGTGATAGACTCCTACAAGGGCAATACCAGTCAATGAATTGACGTAATTAAGGGTCACGATTCAAGCCAAGAATAAAAAAAAATTAAGTGCTCTAATGGCTGTGGGGGGGGGGGTCACATGAATCCATGACATGCAATATACACAAACAATTATATTCTTACACATGTAATTTGATACGTATGTCTGGAGCATAGGAATCAGCATCAGTCTGCATCGTTATACCCTTGATTGGTTGACTTCAAAATAATCCACCTAAGTGGTGCATTTGTAGAATGCCCAACTCGTTACTGGAAGATTGTATATTAGTTACCCGGTCGGGAATTATAGTATATTAGTTACCCGGTCGGGAAATATAGTATATTAGTTACCCGGTCGGGAAATATAGTATATTAGTTACCTGGTCGGGAAATATAGTATATTAGTTACCCGTTTGGGAATTATAGTATATTAGTTACCCGGTTGGGAAATATAGTATATTAGTTACCTGGTCGGGAAATATAGTATATTAGTTACCCGGTCGGGAAATATAGTATATTAGTTACCCAGTCGGAAAATATAGTATATTAGTTACCCAGGCGGGAAATATAGTATATTAGTTACCCGGTCGGGAAATATAGTATATTAGTTACCCGTTTGGGAATTATAGTATATTAGTTACCCGGTCGGGAAATATAGTATATTAGTTACCCGGTCGGGAAATATAGTATATTAGTTACCCAGTCGGGGTGTTGATTTAGCTTATTATCTTTTATAGGGTCTGTAAAATGTATACTATTTTGTGGAAAGTCAACACGTGTTTCCTTTTAAGCAGATGGCCCCAAACACAAATGTATGCCACTGACTCATGTAGGACAAGGGAGATGAGCACCTCCTAGAGTTTCCACCTGTCCTGCTTTCCCCAGGGTCATCATCCTCTTTTTGGGAATTCTATGTTTTCTCAGCACGTTAAGAGTCCTGGTTTTTGTTACTCATCCAATAATACACCACTCAAAGCAATGCATTTCCATGTCATTCTCCCCTCTTATGACAATGTGAAATGTTCTTTCAACATATTTTTTTTTCATTTTGTAATTCAGAGGGGGCAACCCAAACACCGTCCATACACTCTTTTGAACAGGGAGAAGCTTTTGGTTATGAAACGGCAACGCTGCTTCCATTGTCAGAGAATGCGAGGCTCTTGACGTATCAACTTGCCCATATTTCCACGCGCTCTGCTCGCAATACTCTTTCAAAATGTCCTTCCGCCGGTCCCTCCTGTGCTGCAGCATGTCAAGGACATCATCCTGCTGTCCAACCCCCTGCTGGAGGCCTTCGGTAACGCCAAGACCGTCCGCAACAACAACTCCAGCCGCTTCGTGAGTATCTCAGCAACCGCCGTCGCTACGGCGATGGCAGCGTGCAGCAAGGGATTTACCTTGCACAGGTGGGCCGCCGGGGGAGGTGGGGGTGATGGGGGGGTTTGTTAGGCGACGTTGAGATGACAGCAGGGAACATTTAAAGGAGCTTGAATGTCAATGAATGGATGTTCGTGATAGTCATTTATAGAGGCATGTTTTGCTGTTTCATTGATAGTCAACGAGTCAGTTAAGGGACATGGCCAGGTGGCATTGGGATTATATAATTTAACTTGCAGCTTTTAAAAAAAAATAGTTTTACCTAAAATTGCAATAGCTATCACAAGAAGAAGCATGTGTCTCTCCGGGAACCCTTTCAGAGCAGTGCATTAACCTATATCATCGCATGTTGATCACATGGCAGCTACGATTTCAAATTCCTGTGTGGGGTCAATGAAACGAGCACCAATTTGTGGGAAATCAACAGTACCTCATCCTTTTCAGTCTGGATTCTGCCCTGGTAATGTGGAATGTCCAATAATTACTCTGGCCCAACAATGAAAGATGAATACCACTCTGTTTCTCATATGAGCATCACTGAAAGGGGGTCATTTTATTGACATTTTAAGTAGCAAACCTTTGCTCGGGAACATTTACTCGACATACATACAGTAATAAAATGAGTGTGCTAGAGGTAGCATTTCACAGACCAACAGCCCCCAATTAAGCAAACACATCATTGCCATAACATTGTCGTTTTCAATCCATTTACTGTCCTTAAAATACTAGATTGTGTGAAGTGAACTGCCAATTTGCCTTGTACAACAACAAAGGTGTGATTGTTACATTAAAAAAGACATCGCGAGCAGCCTTTAACATTCAACCCAGAGAGCTCATCTGTTTGTAAATTAACCTGAACCCGAGTTCATTTTTTCCGAACTATTTTTTTCCCACCAATGTTTGTTGTTATTGTTGTTGTTGTTGTCATGTGTGTCCTGCAGGGAAAGTATTTCGAGATCCAATTCAGCCGGGGTGGAGAGCCAGATGGAGGGAAGATCTCAAACTTCCTTTTGGAGAAGTCTCGAGTCGTGAGCCAGAACCCCCAGGAGAGGAACTTCCACATCTACTACCAGGCATGACCGCTCTGTTCCTCCTGAACCTTGACCCATGACCCATGACCCTCGCACACCAACTCTTCTTCGCACAGATTTGAGGTTATCTCTTTGTGGTGCTGCGGTTACAGCATCTGACTCACAACTGGAAGGTTCTTAGATGAAATATTTCTAACTCAGCCCATCAATAGCATGCCAGTTAGTTGCCTCGTAAATGCTTCCCTGAGTCTCAGGACCCTGTTTTTAGGAAGGTCTTGCATTGAGATGGTTGGACCGATACCTACGTGTTAAATTGGACCAATACCATTGAGTGTTTGTAATATGGGAGGAGGAATTCGGGACTACCTAGAAAAACACTCCATGCAATATAAAGGGTTTACACTCAAAGCTCTGCACAGATAGAATCCAGTTGGACTGCCCATCCCTTGGCCAACTCAGTGTTCATTCCTCTTTGTGGTTGTCCCATACAGAGACTACCCCACCTCCCGCCATGATAATGTGGTATGTTTTCCCGCATGTATGTTGAGCAATCAAGTATTTTTTTTACTTGTGAATAATAAGGGACTGTCAACCATGGTGGGGATTTGAACTCAGAATGGTATTTACTAGGAGCCTGCTGTTTCGCAACTCAGTCACGCTTGTAATAACAAGTAACATCAGATTTTTTATTGCTGTGGTTCAAAGGTTAGAATGTGAGGTGTTTTTTTTTCCGTGATAACTAAACATATTTGTCACATGGATGTGCAAAATAAATGATAAGCAAAGTGGACTCTAGTTTTCACTGCTTTATGAACCCGGCGACCAGAGGTTTGATTCTTGGCCAAGGCTGACTTCAGTAGCGCATTCAATCTGAACCAGTCCAGGGATCCCCTCTTCACCAACTCCCGATTGACGAACTTGGTGACATGTGAACAAACAACCCCTGCGACTTGGCTTGGGGAGGAGGCCTTCATTTAGTGGTTGATAGATCAAGGGCCTTCAATTTTTTTTAATTCGGAGTAACGTGCTTTTGGAAATTGGTCATTAGTGAGCACATTGGTGTTTGTTATTTCAAATGCTGCCAGTGGTTATTGTATATTAAGATTGTGTTCCTCCAGATGAATGTGTAATTTTCACTTTTGGATGTAGGGCCACCAACGGGAATAGGTGCAAGCAGATTATGATTTGGGGATAAAGACGCTTTGACTTTTTTTGTGTGTTTTAATGGAAGATAAAATTTCGACATTTTTTTGCATCTTTAACTAGTTCCCTATTCTTGAAGCACGTACCGATACTCGTTTAACAACACATTTATATTTATACGATCTAACCCCCCCAAAAAACTGAAATGTTGAATGATGTTGGTCGCGGAAGCCTACGTGTTAAACTGACCGATACTCGCTATTTGTATCGCAACCGATGTAACCATGTTCATAACTAAGATCTGTACCGTGTAAAACCTGTGCCGTTGCAGGACGCCCTGGAAATAAAGCCTAATAGCTCATTGGGCCCTTCCTGCTGAAAAAAAATCTATCGGTCTATAAACAAATTTAAATAACACAATTAATAAAGAACCGCATCATGGAAAATTCGCTTTTATGTAGGCTCGTGAACAGCACTGAACAAACACCCTTGTAGAATCTAATAACGTGGTTAATATTAAATAATGTATTTTTGTATCTAATTTATATGCACATTGTCCCAATTTACATAATCATGTTTTAATTGCCCTTTTCAGGGGGGAGGAGAAGGGGGTTGTAAGCAAGCAATAAGTCCACGTTTTCAGTACTTAATTATACATTTCATAATCCAAATTAAGCAAATTAAACCCCAAAAATGTGTTATGCAGCTTTTCACCTGGACAACGAAGCTCATTAAAGCCCATGTTTTTGCCTTACTGATTTGTTTTTTTTTTACAAATATGATCTATCAAGAGCAAAATATGTTTGCATTATAGTAACATTATCAGGACTGCATTGACAATGCTATCGAAGTACAAGAGCAATGATATAGAAGTCAACCACGGATAAGCTGCAATTTGAGCGGTAGTAGACAGTTTTAAAGTGAATGAAACTTGCCCTAATTATAAAGGTATTGCTCTGCTATGTATACACATTCATCCTATCGCTGTTGTCAAGCCTTAATTCCCGAAACATATAATTCCTGCGAATATGTAGACAGCCATTTCAGGATATCTGCTTTCACATCCCTTTATCGACAGATTCCCTTTTTTAATAAATTTTTACCAACTCAAATACATCTCCATGAGAGCGATGTATCTGCTAATTTACTGACATTTTCATCTCGCTGGACATTTTCTTTCATTAGTAACTTAATACTACACTGCCCGACAAACATGATAGATTGTTCACCTACATCTTAGCATTGCCCAGCCTGATTTGCACTGCTGTGATGTTTCCACTTCCATTCTGAAAACTCTCAGTGATCTGTATTTTATGTTTACCCAGAGTAAAAAAAGTGCATGGTAACCTTAAATGGCACTTGTGTTTGGTTAAATACTTAATTACCATCCTTATTAACAAACAGACCCTTACGAGTGAAAAATAGTGTTAAGTTAATTTTGTTGGCACTCATCCGTCTATTCTGAGCAGGGAGTACAGTACGGCAAAAGGTTGTGGTCTTATAATGGGCATAAACAAATGCGTCACAGTGCCATGCCTTGACAAGACTGAAATGTCACCATTCATAAACGTCTGTTTGATGCCAAACATCTTCGAATGGAAAACTGTGTCTGTATCAACTCAGACCAAACGTGCCTCATCAGTTCCCTTCCTGGCACTGCCTCATAACAAACACACATATATATTGGGGCAACATTTTTGAGAAATGGCCTTTTTGCATTGATTTGAGAAACGTGTTTAGTGCCCACCCAAATGTTAGTCTGCTGTATATTTTTCTGTAGTCAGATAGAGTTAATGACAGGGTTGATGAGGTTATTATAGGCTCATGCTTCCACTCTGCAACCATTGCAGTTTCTACGATTTACTTGACATTTTTACCAATTGCTGTTTTTTTCAAATGAAGCGAAACCGCATGATAACATTCTCGATTTGTGTCTTCCTGTATCTAGAATCCCATTTTGTAAGTCACCCAAAAGTTCCCATTGGCACAATTCCAGTTATTGTTCACAGAAAAAAAATGTATCTCATCTAACAAGGCTAGCATAAGTGGCGAGTGGTTCTATCCACCCACCCACCTCACCATCGGGCACTGCCCAGCATGGTGAAGTTCGGTCAAACAACCTCCCATGACTGGGACATAATGGTTAAGGCCTTCATCCAGCAATGGATTGAAATTGAGATGTAAATGATCATTTAAACATTCAACAAGGCATGTCCCCTGAAACAAAACGTTGCTCTCGAGATTTCACTGTATTTTCCTGGCACCTCTTTGTAAAACGTTTTGTTGAACTATAAGCCACAGTCGTCTGCCGCCGCATTAATTGGTAGCTTATTACTGTGCTTGTTTCACTAATAGGGCCGTGCTTGTAATCATGACAGTGAAGGACAAAGTTGTGCCATGCTCAAGTGAGCCTAGGGGTGGTGTTTATCACTGTTGACTTCCCTGACCCAGCAGTGAAAATTCCACATTCTTATGGCTGGGTCCTGTTTCTGCACAGATCAACCACTGTTGACTTGCCACAAACTGGTACTTATTTTAATTATTCCAGAGAGATAATAGGCTGAACTGAGTTTACGGCTGATTTTGGCCATATAACTTGCATTCCCACCTCCTGAGGTATAACAAAATACCGGGACATATCATGGGAATAACAATGTTTCACGATTCTAGATTTAGAGCTTTCGTGACTGCTAGGATCCATACTCTTTGGTTCTATTGGGTAAAGTCACGTAGGTGAAAATAAAATAACAAAAAATCACGACGTTTCGGCCACAACACAAGCGGCCTTCAGTCTCGTCCCTTCACCTGATGAAGGCCGCTTGTGTTGTGGCCGAAACGTCGTGATTTTTTGTTATTTTATTTTCACCTACGTGACTTTACCCAATAGAATCAAAGAGTATGTTTCACGATCTCAGAAGAGGGAACAATTACATGTAAAAGCATGGTTTTGAGTGGTGTATTTTTACTTCAATAGCAAAAACAGGGACTTTCAGTGTATGTAAAGACTTGCAGCTTTTCCAGAACCGCTACCTCTCCAAGGACAGTCTCAGGAAAGTGAGGACAGGTGGCAACCCTGTCTCTAACCACAGTTCCACCTGATCATATTATGACAACTGTGGTAAAAAATGGAAACGTTTTACATTGTCTTTAACTATCTAATTGCTTCCCGTATTTCCTGCAGCTCACAGAAGCAGCAGTGGGTGACCAGAAAGAGTCACTGGGCATCACGACACCGGACTACTATTACTACCTCAACCAGTCTGGGGCCTACAAGGTCGATGACATTGATGACCGCAAGGACTTCCAGGAAACCATGGTAACCATCGCTTAGCAATCAGGCTGCAGAGGTACTGGCCTCTTTCTACCAGTGGACCAACTTTGCTCCCATCAAACAAACAAGTACATAAACACATAGGAAAGGCATAATTTAATTGCCGCAGTTAAATTGTATTTACGTCCATCTACCAATTGTTTTTCCTGATGATTCTTGCCCAGAAGCAATCCTGGTTAAACACCATTGGGTACGTTCATGGTGATTTGGTCATTGCCATGTGTTTATTTGATTCAAAACCAGGTCTTAATTGACCCCTCTTGTTTATGTCCATATCCACCTTCTCTTCCTTTCTTATTCCTCCTCTCCACCAAACACATGCCCCTCCATCGCCCCTTGACCGTGTCCCCACTCTCCTACCACCCCCCCGCCCCCCCCCCCCCCACTTCAGAAAGCGATGCGAGTGATCGGCATCCCTGCCGAGCATCAGCAGATGGTGCTGCAGATCGTGGCGGGGATCCTGCACCTGGGAAACCTGTCATTCCGCGAAGCCGGCAACTACGCGGCCGTCGAGAACGACGACTGTGAGCCGCGCGACCTCCGCGGGTCAAACACAACCGCGAGCGCCGCCACCGTCGAGCTCCTGCCACTGGCGATTTACAATTAAATGGAATGCAACGAGGATTTTTTATACGGCTTGTAGGTGGCATCTGAAGACGCTCTAAGTAAAACAAGTGGGCGTATTTATTTTAGTAAAAGCAGTCGGGCGCAGGCAGAAAGAGAAAGACGAGATTAACAAAAGCAAGGTCTTGATCCTGAAGGGGGGACGGGGAGGACGGACGGCTGGGGGAGTTCTAGACAAAGGGGGCGGGGGGGGGGGGCGGGGAGCAGAGGAGAATGAGCAACCTTCCACTCAGCATAGGTTTTGGAGCATAGTACAGGACAACAATGCATTTTGCTGAACCGCCCTCTGCGGCTCCTAAATGATCCCTCTGCCACACTGTAAAGTTTAACATGAACGTCCCCCACCCCCCTTTTTGTTTTGTTCCCCCCACCGTGCTCCGACAGTCCTGGCGTTCCCGGCGTTCCTGCTGGGGATTGAGCAGGCGCGGCTCAAGGAGAAGCTGACGAGCCGGCAGATGGACAGCAAGTGGGGCGGCAAGTCGGAGACCATCGAGGTGACGCTCAACGTGGAGCAGGCCAACTACACGCGCGACGCGCTCGCCAAGGCGCTGTACGCGCGCGTCTTCGACTACCTGGTCGAGGTGAGGTCCGGTCGCAGTGGAGGCCGAGCCGGCTACCTTGTATGTCTGATATGTTAAACTTCTTTGTCACCGTACGTAGACCGACCGTGCTCATCGGAGGTGCGTGGGGAGGACAACAGTGCTTGCCAGAAATGAACCACAACATCTTTCTGATCTAATCAAGGAGCATGAACCATCATGCTAACTCAAGTCATGCTCACAGGGGCTTTTGGCTCGAGCCATCAAACAAAGACGGTTACCGCATCGGGTGCCTTTCAGGTGTTCTCAAATTATTATTTAGGTTTTTATCAAATAAAAGGATTAAATAGTCTTTTATTTATCTAGGAGAGTCTCAAATGGGTCTTTAGAACCTTTTTACAGGAAGGTTCTGCTTGGGATGTATGGCCATTTCTTCACCAAAGTCAAATGTATAGGTTAGTGGAAGTCACTGCATTGTGTGCGTGTCTACACGTGTGTGTGGGGGCAGCGGTGGCTGAGTGGTTAGCACTCTGCGAGATGAACCCAGCAACCAACAACCGAGGTGAATATTTGAACCGGCCCGTGGCCTCCCCTAGATAGACTTAGCCTCAAATGAGTACCTGGTGCGGTGTGTAAATATCGCCGCTCAGGAGACAACGGGGGTCGGGCGTGGTGATGGCCACCCCCACCTCCTTTTGTGTAGTGTCGGCCTTAATAGGTGCTCGCGAATGGCACTTACCCCCTACAGTCTATTAAGGTAATAGGACGGAATCTTTGTCTTGTCGCTGTTCTACATGTGGTGTATTAAGTGCTGTGTGTGCTTTGAGACCTTTGTCAAGGGGGATGTGGGTGTTGTGTTTGATCACAGGCAATCAACAGAGCCATACAGAAGGACCACGAAGAGTACAATGTTGGTGTCCTCGACATTTACGGGTTTGAAATTTTTCAGGTGCGTTGTGCGTTTCGTGTGTTCTTGCCATTTTCACAAACGCGACTTGGCATTTTGTGTTATTCCGTTTTTTTATTGTGTCGTTCGGGACTTTAATTCCGAACTCTTTGTTGTTGCTTCACTTTGCGTTACAGAAAAACGGATTTGAGCAGTTTTGCATCAACTTTGTCAACGAGAAACTGCAACAAATTTTCATCGAACTGACGCTAAAGGCAGAGCAGGTAAAACATACCCCGAGGGTTTATGTTTCATGATCAACATTCAGGAAGCAAAATAAATGTGTTTTATAGCCAAATGGGATAATATGTTCAAGCACCAGGATGTCATGGTGGCCAAAGTCGTTGATGCCACCACACCACGCTACTAACACACTCTCTACCCTGGCACTGCGGATCCCACTACCACCTGGAACCACGTGCCCGCACCCCCCAATGCCCAAATATCTGCGGATCGAGAATCGGACTCCTCAGCCACCACCAAACCTGATTGACGTCATCCTTGAACCCCGAGGGACTGCCGACGACCCTCCGCCATATCCCGCAGTAGTTAGTTTATTGTGTTTACTGAGCCAACTGGCCAGGATTGGGCAAAACCTGGCCCACTTTTTCTACACAGGAAGCCGGAGAGCACAGACGTAAGTGTTTCTTACCTAACAATAAAACGAACAGCATATTTAAGAGTGACAGTTAAGAGACGAGCAACAATATGCTATTGAAAAGAAGAATTTAAATAACAGTAAACACGCAAATTACAAGAGCCACCCAAACGGTATCTCCCCATCTGGTCTTCTTCGGCCTTCCCCGTGATCACTGGATAATGTTTTATAATGTATTATTAATCACGTACGATAAACTAAGAGGTGTCTTCATCTCGGCGGAACGCGGGTATTATTAACACAGAAAAACAGGGAATCCTGAAAGTGCCTTCTACGGGTCTCTAAAAGTGATCGTAAATTTCGCAGCAGCTCCATTCCTGCAAGTTCCCAAAGTCGCGTGCTATCGCCCCCGCATCAAGGCTCCATTCCTAAGTAACGTGACGCCGTTGCATCGGTTGGTGTGGTGGTGTTGTTGTTATTGTCGTCATTGTTGTGTGGGCACGGCTGCTGACCGAAGAAGCGTGACCGCATGTCGAGTCTTCCCTAGTAGTAGGGCTTGGTAGTAGCTAAAGCGCGTGTGATTTCTGCAGGAAGAATACGTGCAGGAAGGCATCAAGTGGACGCCCATTGACTACTTCAACAACAAGATCGTGTGCGACCTCATTGAAAACAAAGTGGTAGGAATCGTCTTGCCTTGCTCGTCATCAAGGTGCAACTGAACGCCGTGACACGCAATCCGTCGTGGTCTCTCCATTAGCCTTACCCACTGTAAATCGAGGGGAAAGCCTAGTCTTGGGCATCTAATGCTCACTTGTAAGAGAGTGATTGGTAATATATTTAAACGGATTGCAATGTTAAAGTGCTGGACCGGTCTGGTGTCAATTTTGGGCTATCGTGCCTTAATTGGTCATGGAAAGCCAACAATCGTCATCCTATTTCAGGCACCCCTCCTATAGGAATGCAGTATTTCTACTGCTCGGGTGCTCGAGGGCTACGATATGGGACGACGGTATAAGAAGGACGCTGTGATAAGAGTAGTAGGATACGAACGAATGTTGTAAGAGGACGAACGGCGCGACGGGAGCCGTGTGTGTGGCCTGTGCGCCGGCTCATGCTGGGTAGAACCCGCCGGGCATCATGAGCGTGCTGGACGACGTGTGCGCCACGATGCACGCCAAGGGCGAGGGCGCCGACGCCACGCTACTGCAGAAGCTGCGCGCACAGATCGGCAGTCATGAGCACTTCAACAGCTGGAACCAGGGCTTCATCGTTCACCACTACGCGGGCAAGGTGCGGCTCCGCCGGCCAGACACGCGCACACGAAGAGCACCTTTCCCTTTTGTGTATGCATGTATGTTGAACTTCTTTTGCACAGTACGTAACCAATCATGCTTAATCGGAGGTGCCAACCCTTAACCACGTTCAGCGCTAGTGCACGATCATGCTCATAACTTGAGTACCTTAATGAGTACAAGGGTGACGAGTACACCAACTCGAATGCAAACGGTCACTTTCCAAAAGAGGTTTTTTTGGAGAGGGCGTGACCCCTGACCTGGAGCACGTGAAATTGTTTTACTGGATAGAACGGCTTCGGCAACCACTGTCTTACCGCCATCTGCAATCGCAAAGCAAGATACAATTAGCAAATGCCATACAGTGTGCAATAGTGCGTGTTTGGACAAGGCAACGATGGATAAAGAGAGAACGGAAATTGCACACCATTTATCATGCCTCATTGCGTCGAATGAATGGCAGCTACAGACGGTGGCGGTAGCGTGTTAGGTGTCACCAAAGCTTGTTTTTTTTATTCAATTAATTATGTCCCTTTATTTATCTAGGTCACAACAACAAAAACGTTTTTTAAAATTCTGACTTAAAACTTTCGTGACTGCAGGAATTCATATTCTTTGGTTCTTTCGGTAAAGTCGCGTAGATAGAAAAATATAAATATATATTTTATTTGTATTATTTTTATTCACTTTATTTTTCTTATTTTTTCTATCTACTTGACTTTACCGAAAGAACCAAAGAATATTTTTTTGTGTTGTTGCAATCAGTAATCGTGACATTGCATCTAGCCTGGCGTTTATTGTAGGGATCAGTGTGAGTCGAGTACCACTTTGTGGGTAGCCAAAAATCGTTGTCCTGTGAAGAGACTCCCTCTTGTCATAGGAATGTGGAATTCATGCCTCTTTATTTGTTTTTCTCTGCCAGGTGTCGTACGATGTGGAGGGATTTTGCGAGCGGAATCGCGACGTCCTTTTCACGGACCTGATCGAACTGATGCAAAGCAGCGAGCAGTATGTTGGTCAAAAAACTCAAAGTACAAAAATACACCCTGCTTGACTAACAGGCGTGACGTCGTGTAAAGGCAAAATGGTTACGAGTTTCACATATCATGTGACTCAATTGTCATGCGTAAAATCACATTAAAGTTGTTTATATATGCATGTAACTTTGTTTTATTATGCAAGTGTTTTTTTGTCCTTTGCATACCATGCTAAAGTTGAGTGATTTTGTTCACGTTTATAAACACGTGTGTTGTCTTTTTTTTTGTGCCATAGTTCCTTTATCCAGGCGCTGTTTCCAGAAAACATTCAGAGTGAGAAGAAAGGGCGACCAACAACTGTAGCCAGCAAAATAAAGGTGCCTCATAGCCCGTACCCACGAACGTGTTCAATCCATCCCCGTGTGTTTTCCCCGACCATGATTGTCAATTAGGGTTGCCATCTCTGATGTCACAGAGAGCAGAATATCTCACAATTCTGGAAGAGTGGAGGACTATAATTGAATGCGTCGTCCTGAGTGGTGTATTATTACGCAACTGATGAACAAAAAAACGGGACTTTCAGTGCCTTGGAAGGCTCACAGATTTCCCAGCATGGCTGTCTCAAAAAGAGGACATCCTAGGAAAAACCAGAGCAAGTGGCAATCCTAGATGGCAACTTAGTTGCCTGACCACCAACCCAGGAGCCTCTCTCGTGTGACACTGCTGGGCGGGGTAGTGGAGGCCAACTCTGGACACCGTCATGACATCATGGCGCTGAGTACTTGAGCCATGATACCACATTCGTGCCCTTATCACAGAAGCTAATTTGTATAAAAGTAAAAGAGTCTCCCTAGACTAGCAGGTGGTGAGATGTGAACTACCTTGGCTGGTATAGGAGGTTGTGGGTTTGATCTTGACCCTGACACCTATCTATTTTTGAGTTTGTGTGTTCTACCCATGGTCACGTGGATTTTTCTCCGGGTCCTCCGGTTTTTACCTCCACATTAAGAAACATGTGTTTGTAGTACTTGGCTGCGATACCTTTCCACATGATAAGCCACTTCGTTGAGCTATCGTTTTTGGCCAGGTCACTTTTGAAAGGAGCTGTATAGCTCAGTGGGCCTTACTTGGGAAATAAAAAATAGTTGGTTAAAAGTTAGGTGCATGGGGCGGTGCTCTTCTCTATTTCTGTGTCTGAGCCATGGTGGAAATACCACAGTCCTGTGATAGGGCTGAGTCTTTTCAACAATAATTGTTTTCCTTCCATCAGCATTGGTATCTTACCATTTGTTGCATGAGAGTCAAACCAATATTTTCAATTCTCAAAGGTGGAATTTGTCCAAATTATATGCAGAACCAAGTTTAATGTAGATTGTTTTGTGCACTCATTGGTAACCGGACTGAGACCAGCAACCGCATCCTGCAAGGTGGTCAACGGATAGCATTGTTGAGCATGTGCATGGGCTTTCTCTGGGTACTCCACTTTTCTCCCACATTACAATCAGTAATTATTTATATTGGACAAACATCCCGAATGCAGGAGCTCATTGTGTGTTTTCCGGATACATAATTAACATTGTAATTTACACTGGATGAATGCCATGCCAATATGTCAATGGGAGTTCATTGCGTGGCGTCCGCCCATGTGGTTCCCAGAAACAAGCCAACGACCTGGTGAACACGCTCATGAAGTGCACGCCGCACTACATCCGCTGCATCAAGCCCAACGAGACCAAGCGTCCACGCGACTGGGAGGAGAGCAGGTGCGGGCCCGGCCACGCTAAACCGACGCCTCTTTTCCACCGTACAACCGAGCCGTGCCGGGTCTGTGACGAGCCAACCGTGCGCGGCTCAGGAGACGGCGCCAGGTTGTTTCCATGTCACCGCAGAAGCCGAGCTGTGCCGCTGACGTCGTTCCCAAAGAACGCGTCGTCAGCCCTGACTATGGCCGTCGCTTGGCCTCGGGCCACATTCAACGTCTCGTAGTTTGATTCTCGCTCGGCGCGGCAATTCGCCGTTGGAAAAGTACTCGTAACTTGAAGTTGCCGTGCTGGCTCGGCTCGACTCGGCTCGGATGTGCCAGTGGAAAATGGGGTACAAGAGCTCTTATCTCTTGGGGATTTGTCTTTGTAATCTCGTGGTTTTCTTGGGAGGTGCTGTACAACGCGGTCTATGACGTGCACGTGCGTGCGTAGGGTGAAGCACCAGGCGGAGTACCTGGGCCTGCGCGAGAACATCCGCGTGCGCCGCGCGGGCTACGCGTACCGCCGCATCTTCAAAAAGTTCCTGCAGCGGTGAGTCCCGGGGGGGGGGGGACACAGGCATTGTCAGTGTCACCAAGTGGCAGTTGCCTGTGTCTGATCGTAAAAAAGTTTTTAAATGTCTCTGCATCCCTGCACAAATTAGTAAAGTAGCAGCACTCGTATACTCTGATCCAGTGGTGGAAATTCCAAATTCCCTGTGGTTTTCTACAAGCACAATAACTGGTGGCTTCCAACAAAGTAAACCGTGCTCTCTTTTTTTTTGGCTTGTCGGAATGTGGGCTGAATTGTCCCACGACTGGATTTTGTACCCCGCGACCTTTAGATTGTGAGACGCGCGCTCTAACCACGGTGCCACCCGGCCGGATGAATTGATGTCCGGGTAAATACCCCAAAATACCTCTGGAATCGCAGTGGCATGTTAGGTTTAATGGTAATCAGCCCCAAACACTTTGTGAGAAACCCCTCATTGTTGCCTGCCTCACGTTGGAAGTATTCGGACAAGAGTGTGAAATTGAGACACAGTTCACACCGCTTTAAGGCGCTTAACCGCGCTGGCATTCGGCGGTTAGTCACGACCTCCCCCTACCAACGCTGGCCCGCCCGCGGGCTTAAACAAAACAGCTCGGTGTGCATCACAATCATGGGCGTCTTGCATAATGGCACATGGCAAACTTACGCCGCGGTTCTCAGCAGCTGGAGGAAAAAGGGCCCGTGTGAACAGGGCGTGAGCATTTGGTTACCTGCTGATTTTGGCTGCCCTCTGACAGGAGGGCAGAGGGTGGAACCTGCCTTTCGTGGAGCGTGAGGTTGGGAGGGAGATATCTCTGGGGTGGGTGGTGGTGGCAGTCGCAGTGCTGTGAGATGGAGAGAGTATCAGGGAGGAAGGTTGGGGAATGTGTGAGCTTGGATAGTAGTTGATGGTTATTTATATGATTGAGTTGGTGGTCCACGTTTGCAAAATTGTCAGAGTAAGTGGTGTCTTGAGTTAAATTGGGTAGATAAATTTCCACGTGATGAGTCCCTTCATTAAGCTGTCATTTGTGGCCAGGTTGCTTCTGAAAAAATATCTAAATAGCTCAGTGGGCTTTATCTGGTAAAATAAAAATGGTAAATAGTTAAATATAGAAATCAACCAGGCATGTAACATTTTTTTCGCATGTAAAATAATCAAACAAAGTAAACTTCATATCTTAAATGACCGATACAAAATCACACTTTGTTTGCTGCACCTGCAATCTAGCTTCTGAACATGTCCATACATATCCAAACAGAAGCAATAATGGAGTCTGACATCAGCCATGCATGATAGCAGTTGTGGATTGCGGTGCTATTAGAAGCCACTGAAATGCCAGGAGACGTTACATAATTGTACAGGGTGGGGGTGGTACAAATGGGAATTTGTGGTAGGTTAAGGGTTCATAGAATTTTACAGGAAAGTGAAAATCACATCTAAGTGTCTCTTCACTCATACAAGCAATGGGGTGGTGCTCATCTATAGTGGCTATTCCTGGACCAGTGGTGACAATTCCACATTCCCATGACAGAGGCCAATTTCTCCATGGAATTACCACTTTTTGGCTTCCAGCAAAGTTATATTTCTATCATTAACCTGGGCTGAATTGAATCGCAACTGGGATTTGAACTCACAATTGTCGAATTGTGAGCCATGCTAAGGATAGGAAACTGTAACAAACACTACCCACTATTAAAACTTGAGCCCAACATTAGATTTTTGGCTCCGGATAGGAATCAACTTTGTGCTAATGCGAGGAGCTGTTGTGAAACCGTGACGCACACACATTGAAACTGAAATGACGTCAGCTATGCTCCGTGATGTGATCGCTGTCTTCAGCTTGTGAGAGAGACGGTCAGTGCTGATTCTGGGAAAGTGCTGTCACTCCATTGACATTTAAAAAATAATAATGCTCTGTACTTACCAAGCAGAGCTTCCATGAGTCTCAAGACTATTTTTTTCAGGAGGCTTAGTCACATGTACTGTTTAGTGAGTTCCATTAAATGCATGTGTGAGGAAACTGGAGTATCTAGAGAAAACGAACACATTCAAGGGGATAGCACTCATAGTTCCACACGGATTATCTCAGTCCATTGTTGTGCTTCCATTTCCTGGCCTAAGCAAGGAAAAATATTTTAAATAGGTGTTTCAAAATGATTAAAGGAATAATTTGCCGATATTTAAACATTGGGAATGGAGTGATGACACAGTGGTATGTGCACTACTTTGTGAGCCCAACAAGCTCAGTTTGGCTCCCAATTGTGGCTGACATGAGAAGCAAACTAACAACTTGAGTTTGACTCCCAGCTGTGGCCGGTGTTACAAGCAAATGATATCTGAACCAATCCCATCATCAACCTGAACTGACCAGCATGTTGAAGCATAGTCAAACAAGCTTCATAGCCGATGTGGAATGTGGAGGTCTTCATCTAACAGTCGATTGACAAAGGGCTCAATCGGTTAAAGCAGAAATCCACTGGTGTAACATATCTGTCAGCAGCAGGTTCTGTGCCATGTGTCCTTTACCATGACCTCAAATGTGTAGCTTTCAAATAAAGAAATCATTACATTGAAAGTGCGCCATCAGTAACAGTGCTTGTATGAAAGGATAGTCGTTCATGTGAAACGGTTATTTTTTTTGTGGGTTTTATTTATTTGATTAAACATTTACAAGGACACACAGCTGAGGTGTACAATGTCGGATACATTGCGATCCTTTCTAACCGGCTGAGGCCTCGTTCCATAACTGGCACGATGGAGAATGCCATAAAAAGAGGCGTAACATAAACACAGCAGAGTGAAAACCATGTGCTTGGATCATTTACATTTCACATGTGCATTTCAGTGCCACAGAGAGAGTCACGTATGTGGGCCATTAAAGGTAAACATTCATCCTTAGTTTCGAAAATGTAAAGGAAAGTAAATGAAACTTTACTTATTTTTCAATGATCCTCCAGCTACATGTATACGGTTTTTTTTTCCCGATTGGTTGTTGTAACACCTTAATTACAGAGGCATTACATTCTTTAGGACATGTATCTAGCCAAATGAGGGCATCCACTACCACATTCTCCTCATCATTCAATGATCACCTCATCTCCTCATCAGGTGCGATCGAATGATGGCATCTACACTTCCAACACTGCCAGTTTTGCGTCAGTCTCATACACATTCATGTGGCATTTGCTCTGAATGAACTGCTCAGCACGCAGTCTCTGTGAGAGTCACAACGCTGCATCATGCATAAACACGTTCGTCATCCATTGCCCACTCGCATCCATTTCGAAACAATTTGTAACACTTCAATATCTTTCTATGTTCCTGACAAAAAAAATCAACAAAACCCTTCAGCAAACCTGCAATATATTTCAGCCGGTTTGGTATTTTAGCTTTACCAGAATCTTAATTGCACAACATTGCTCCGCAATCTATGATACAGAATTCGCCACACCTTGAACCTACCCAGACTACTTTGGGCATCTGTTGCTACTAGCACTCCACGATCTTTTGGTCTCGTGTAATTTTTTGTGATAATCCAGAATGAAAAAGTCCAGATTGATCTCGAATGGTCCTTGTAGAATAACACTTACTATACTGTCATGGGGTTACGTTTAAGCCTTGTATTGTGTACTTTCTTCAATAGTAGTGCTTGAGTGTATTTTGTAGAAGTAATGATGGCACAAGATGTTTGAGCGAATATCCACGTGGTTAAAGTTTCCCACAGACAGCTGGCAGATTGGATGTCTCATTTCCTCTCCTGGCTGGTATAAGTGGGCTCCAGTCTGATCTTAAAAAATAAAAGTGTCCTGATGCTCAAATGCACACAGGCCTCTACAGTGCTTGCCAGAGTTGGTGGTTAAAAATCCACTCCATTCCCTCAATAGGTTAACCACTCTTAACTCGACATACAAAATGGTACTCCTGACATCAATCACGGAGGGATTGGAGGATTGAGTTCACCCCACAACCAGGATTTGCATTCCCCCCCCCCCCACAAATATTGTAACAATTGTGCTTTTGGCATTGTGTCATGAGGCACAGCATCCGTTCTAAACTCTCACTGAGAAGTGTATCAACACAAGTCCGAGAGGAATATGACAGAACTACTTCCGAGGTCTATCCAAATTATATACAGTATTTTTATCCACACACCGGTAGCATACATTTTTTTTTATACACGGCCTATTACAGAGAAACTTTTGTTGGCAACAAACTACTATTATTAATTTTCAGCTCTGGAAGTCAAGTGATTTTTTATTATAATTTAATTATGCAGAAGGGTCTCCACGAGAGGGAGCTCTAGAGAGTTCCTCTAGAGGGTATTATGACCCACTATTCCAGTGCTGGCCAGATATCTTGGAAGAGATGCGAGTACCCACACTTTATCCCACCATGCACGACCTACTGATCGACTTTGTTGGCCTCATATATACTGCTGGGTGGACAGGCGGTGGGGGAGCCTGTCCCATTGTTTCAACTGTGGCGCCGATCAAGCCGGCGACCTCTAGGTCGCAAGTCCAGTACGCTAACCTTTACACAAAGGCAGCATCTCTAGTCAAGAGTAGCACAAAAAAACGTATCTCAGTGGCTCTTAAATCAACGCTTACCATCTCGGTGCCACAGCATAGCCGGCCGAATGCATTTTTTTGAGTTGCTCTTGGAACGTGTACAGCTGGCAGGGATTTGACGAGCAGAGGTGACCCGCGTTACGTAGTCGGAAGGCTGGAGCTGCTGAATTGCTGTCTGTTTCCTGCTCCCGTGTGGTGGTGAAGCGTGCAATGTCAAAAAGGCCTTGTATGGTCTTCCCCCCCCCACCATTTGCCCTTGATACGATTGTGTACGACTGACTGAGTTGTTGTATTTGGGGAGGCAGGGATTTATGGACGGTCATGTGCGCTATGTAAACAATGCACTTGCATATGGCGGATGAGGCAACAAAATGTTGCGGAACAGATTTTCACTTCGAATTTCAGAACCAGTAAATGTACAATAATTATAGTAACATTGTTTTGACATTTTTTTCTCGCAATTGCAATTTGTTGTAAAATTCTTGTGGAGGCGTGAAGTGGGGCCCTTGAATAACGAGGTAAAACTTCATTTTGGGAATAAATCTGAAATTACATCCTAATCCTTGACATCCATTTAAGAGTTAATTTGGCCACAATCTCTAGACTATGCTCCTTATTTGTGCCGTTGATAGTAAGGTTCACTCAATTTCTGTCTGCTTAATAGTTGTCAGAGAAATATAAACGATAGTAAATCTATACACAGTGCCGTGTTTGGTAAGACCGTTGGAGACCAATCTGCATGATTGGTTGTCTACGCCAATGGTGGACAATACGTGGATTTGGATCCACAGGTGGATGGGAAAAGATTGTTTTCGCGGATCTCAGAACAAACCAGAACACTAAAATAAGCGTACAACAGTTTTTGTTACGGCCGATGGCAAATAAAAATCCAGGACTAAGAATTCGGGCATTAAATAAATATAACGTCTACCAATAGATGGTGCTAGGACTTTGGCTTTGGTATATTACACAGGGAAAAATCTGGGTAATTGTTGGTCGTACATAGCTTTCTGATGGATTGCGGAGTCTGTTCGAGATACACTAAAATGAATCACAGTGATTGGTGTATCGGTTACCGTTGCTCTACACTTGGGCCTTTAATTTAACAAACAATACAACCCAATTGTGCTATGTAAGTGAAGATGTAAGAAGGTGAAATCTCTCCTTATTTAACACCTGCAGACTGAAGTGAGCTGTCAGAGTAGGCACCATGATCCTGTAAAGCGAATATCACTGTTAATAAACTAGGGTTTGCTCGGACTATCAGTTTCACAAAATGACAACCAAGTTCAGAAATGTCAGCCATGTTTCTCCTCTGGAAAGAATGCCCTCCATCCATGGGAATGTGGAGTTTCCACGAGTGGCTCCTGGCCACAGATAGAGGTGTAAGTATGTCTGAATGGTCACTACAGCAAGAGGTGGGGATACACTCTGACTGATCAAACCACTACAATTACTACACTCCACAATGCTGTTTAATCTTGGGCATGTGCCTGGGATTATAATGCAGAAATCCAGTGGTGCTGGCTGTGTATATTAACATGGGTATTGCAGCTCCCTGAAACACCAAGCCACAACTTAAATAAACAAATTGTGTAGCTATATTAATCCTGATACAGTAGTTCTTTATTTAATAGGAAAACCTCACTGACTTTTAGGACTCTTGTTTTACTTACAAGTTTCCTGCTTGGGATATTTGACCAATTTCTCTGCGCGTTTATTTACACGTGGGAGAAAATCACGGGGCGCGGATACTTACATAGGGAACATGCAAAGCGATAACGCTCAATCTTAGTACAAATGGGTGACGATCGGTATGTGCTGTACCGCCCCCTATCGACTACCTCCCTCCTGCTCCTGAGGTGGATGGGTGTCTGATGTACTTGTGTACTTGTACATGAACTGCCCATGTTTTATTCATCCACTGTTGGGCGAGTGCCTTCCCACACCATTCAGGTCATGGAGGGTGTATTTGACCATACTTTACTCTGCTGATCAATGTTAGTTGGTGAAGGTGGGGGAGCATAGATGTGGGAGCAAATAAATACAGTACAACAATGCATCTTGCTGCATCACCCTATGTAGGCCACAACAACATTGCCCTCTGCAGCCTACAACACCTGTTATGCTTGGTGGCCAACCACTAAGCAAAATCCAGGCTCGACCCTGCTCACAGGTGCAGCATTCCGTGAGTCTTGTTTAATGAAGTAAACATCTGTCCGTGAGCCACCAGCCCCACTTGCAAGCAACGCGGTCTGTCGACAGAAGTCGCCGGCTTGTGACTTTGGGCGTGAAGAATCGTCGGATGCTCGACATGGTTGACGCGCCTCCTTGCGGGGTGGGCCCGGCCGCGCGTGCAGGTACGCGATTCTGACGCGCGAGACGTGGCCGGAGTGGCACGGCGAGGAGCGGAAAGGGGTGGAGTACCTCCTGCGCACCGTCAACATGGACCCCGACCAGTACCAGATGGGGCGCACCAAGGTGTTCGTCAAGGCACCCGAGTCGGTGAGGTGGACCCCCTCCATCCGATGTCACCAATTTCCTCTGCTACTTCTTGATTCCTCTTCTACCGCCGATTCCTTCGATGTTTCTTCTCGCTCTGATCTCTCTGCATCTTTCCAATGCCTCCCAATTCCTTCACTCCCCCTCTGCTCTTCCTGCTTCCTCGGCTCCCTCTCGCCACTGTGCTCCTGAACCTCGCACCTTGACAGCCCATGGTAATTGTATACTGTTTATAGACGTGCCTTTCATTTGACCAACTTAATTGAGTCTCAAGACTTATTTCCGTGAGGGTCCTGCATTGGGATGTTTGGCTAAATCTGTGCGGGGAGTGGTAGCAGAGTGGTTAGCTACACCTCGATACCTGCCATGGCTAAAATTCGTGGCAGGTGACATCTGAATTGACATCAGTGACGAATTTCTGAACTAGGTTTTGGGCCTGTCCTAGGTTGACTTAGACTTGAATGAGTTGCTGGTGCGATGTTTAAACATCAGGATTTGTGGAGTCGGGGAGGCGACAAAGTCGGAGAGGCGTGGTGCTGGTCATACCATCCCCACATGCATGCCTTCATATGTCATTGCTAACAGCACTTGTCACAACATAAACTAGAGGGGGTATCTTTATCTTTGTTTTATGTTTTCTTATTTACTTGGTGGGGATTGGATGATTGCTCCCCTTAGCTCTTCCTGCTTGAGGAGATGCGGGAGCGGAAATACGACGGCTACGCACGTGCCATCCAGAAGGCGTGGAGGAAACACGTGGCACACAAGCGGTACATGAAGATGAGGGAGGAAGGTGAGCGCAGCGCTGCTCGGAACGAAAAAAAAAAGCATCGGCATTCCCGTGAGGGCAGAGCCAACGTGTGGCAGCTCCACAGCACTGCAACTTAAAGATTGGCCTTGCATTTGCTGTTATTCATTGTCAGCAGGCGCGTGGGATCAGCGGTGGACATAGCGATTAGCACACAGCACTGTGATGCCGGAAACACGAGTTCATTTCCTAGCCTTGGCTAACATCGATGGTGCACGTGCATCCACTTGACATGACGTCACTATTTTAAAGTCTCTCCCTCGATACCATGTGGGGCTGTGTTCGTCACCTTTGGTGGCACTGAACCATTGGTGGAAATTGCATATTGTTATGGTGGGAGCCAGGATATCCATAGGACTTCCAGCTAAGGTGCTCAAATTAAACCCTGGCTGATGCATTAAAAAAAAAATGCACTGCCATTTTGAGTAAATAGTTTATTAAAGACGGCATTGTTCCTTCTATACAGCCACACAAGGGTATGTTATATTTACGTGACGAATGCTGACATTAGCAATACGCCTTTGCTATTTTCGCACCTACATGTTAGATTTACAAGACTGCTTACAATGTTACTATTGATGACCACACAAAAATGCATGATTAAGAAACAAATACATGATGGATCGTGCAACCTGGTCTAATGGTGTTAAGAATAGAGCTCTGATGGCGAGAATACGTTTACATTTCATGCGTAGCATTTGCGGTGTGAAATACATCACGACTATTGAGAATTGTGCAAAATCATTTGTATGAATATGTATGCATTTTGAACTTCTTTCAAACCGTACGTAGCCAACCGTGTTAATTGGAGGTGCGGGGGAAGGACAACACACTAAACACTAAAAGCAGTTCGAAAGAAATGAGTTTTAAAAGTGCATAGCTCCAGTGGATTCCTAATATCGGAAGGAAGAGCGTTCCAGACGGGCTGCAGAAGCACATCTGAAAGCCCGCAATGCAGTGACCGTCTTTGTTCGACGGTTATCCAAAAGCCACTGCGAAGATGACCGGAGTTTGCGTGATGCTTTATGCTCTTTGATGAGATGAGCGAGGTAGATTCGCAGCTCCCTCCGTGCCCGCCCACCCCACCCTGTGGTTCCCGTGCGCTCACAGGCAATGTGCATTCATTGTAATTTGCTCATTATAGCCTAATTGTTTTTGAAACAATACAAGCAAAGTATGAAATTACCATCGCGAAGTCACCATCCTCGCAGCAGGCGTATACTTAATATGCGAGTGTGAAGGGATCATTATGAAGCATATTGTTTGTTATTAATTCGTAATGTGCTTGTGTGTGTGTGTAAAAAATGAAATGCCGTATAAAAAGAGTTAGGTACGGTGTAATGAAGAAGCAAATGAGATGGTGTTGAAGAGAGATTCTGTCAATATGCAATTAGGAAGCAGAATTCTTTACATGGCTGTGTGGCTCAGAGGGCTTATAATGTCCCGTGTCAGACTGTGGGTTTGCCATCAGCGAAGAGACCTGATTCTTAAGTATAGAGAGAGAGTTGCTCATCTCAGCCCAGTCATCGATCACTGCACGGGAAAAGCCATCCGTTATGTTTGAGTTTTCTGGCAGCTGGACCTAGCTTCAGGACCTGGTAAATTTAGTTTTACTTTGGCTCTTGGGGCTAACATATATACTATATTGGTTGATTGACATATGGACAACGGCTCCTTAAAGAGCATGAGTGAGTGGTCTGGGCCCATTGAAGTCACTGTAAAAGTAGCTACATGCCATCATATTACAGGAATATTAGCTGACGTGGGGATGACGATGCTCGGCTGAGTGAGGAAGTTCCAGAAGGACCTTTCTTAGCTTCGGGACATGATGCCGATGGCATAAACAAAGTCCTTAAATGGGCATTGAGGTTGTTCTCATCTCTGTCGGTGACCTCGAGCCAGTGGTGTAAATTTCGACTCTTGACCTTCTGCAAAGTGGAACCCATTTTATAGAGTATGGATTATGGTGGTTTGAGTCGACCTCTATTTGAGATTTGGCATGGCAACATTGCAGTTCTGAGTTATACACCCTCTAACCATGTAATTGGTGTTATTGGTCCAAAAAAATTTGAAACGAAATTCTGCACCTTTATATCTTTTTTTACCCTGTCCCTCTCTGCCATTGTATGTCATATCCCCCCCCCCCTCCCCCTATTTAACCCCACGCAGCATCAGACATCCTGCTGAACAAGAAGGAGCGGCGGAGGAACAGTCTGAATCGCAACTTTGTGGGCGACTACCTGGGGCTGGACGACAGGCCCGAGCTGCGGCAGTTCCTGGGCAAACGCGACCGCGTGGACTTTGCCGACAGCGTCAATAAATATGACCGCCGCTTCAAGGTATCGGCCTCACGCTACCCTCTCGCCGCACTAACACCGGCCCTTCTCTCCTCGACCATCACACATTCTGAATCCACTGCTGGATGATGTGACCGGCCTCGTCAAGACAGTGTCTCCTTGTTTGAACGAGCAATCACGGGCGTCTCCCCGAAGCGGTAGTGGAAATTCCTGATTCACGTGATGGGGGACGGTGTGTCTGCAGGATGACTGCCATTTACTATCCACAAACTAGTACATATTTTATCAACCCCCGAAGGATGATGGGCTGAGTTGACTTAAGACCGGGATTTGTGCTCGCAGACTCCTGACTGCGAGTCTCGCTATTACATTTTTATTACAGTTTTAGAAAGTGTGTCTCAAACACTTTTTTGAGTATTTATTTTGCATTGAGGTGTAACCAAAATCCCTTGAAAACTCACGAATGTGAGGGGATCACTCTTGCTTATCAACCTACTTGCTGCACTAGTCCGTGGTCATGTGGTGATGGGCCTGCGGGTTGGTCGTCTCACACGTGGCGATGTTTCCGTGATCCACCAACCTCGCTTCGAAGGTGGTGACTCAGAGGCGGGCGGTCCCCTCCACCACGCCAGCAACAGCAGCAGGGATGGCTGTCCAGTCTCGTAGCGTGATTTATGGTCGCTCATAACCCAAATTTAGACACCACCTACAAATAATTTCAGAAGAAAAAATATGTCTTTGTCCTCATTTAACGACGTTTGTCAAGATAGACTGATAAAGCTCAATCGGGTCACTGGATTAAATATAGGACATTGTACTGAATTTTATGCCACATGATATTTTACGTGCTTAACATTTATTCCTTCCACACTTGGCCCTGATTTATTCACCTCATCTCCCTTTTATCAGGCCATCTCTCGATTACCATTCCTTCTGCTGGTCTTGAACACTGCAGTAAAACAGAATGTAATTCCTGCATTGCATTATGTTGTGTAAGTATATTATTCAAGCACTGAAAAGAGTCACTGGGAGGAATAGTCAACATTAATTTAACAGTGCACAAGTTTGACGCAAGTGGATAAAACAAGATTTCAGTTATCTGAAAATGGTAGCATCATGTCAAGAAGATGGTAATAAGCCTTTTGGAGAAGTAGCGAGCTTTTGTGTTTATCTTTTGACCTGGTGGAATGTCACTGTTAAAATATTGTAAAAGAGTGTAGAAAGTTTTCTGTGTAAGGGTACTAAAACAACTTGAAAAAACGCTTGGGTTTGATCGTACAGTCCGAAGATGGGTCATCTCACTCTGCCTTGTTACTGAACAATATTTAAAGTCGTTATAAAATATAATATGCGTTGTTGTGGATCAATGTGGGTAATGAAAAAATAGACCTCTATCCCTTAATAATGAAAGTTAATATTTCTGAAGTCCATCTGGCAAACCAGTGGTGTTTGTTTAACACGCCTGACTGCTGACAGGACCCTGAAGGTCTAAACAGGTTTGGAGTTTGCTCGTTTAAACACATCCTGCAGGATAATATTGATCTGAAAAGACCAAATGCTCATGGGCTAAAAACAGCTTTATTTTTATGTGGAGAGATGAACATGAGTTCTCATTTTTATTTATTTATCAAATATCTTGTTGGCTCAAATTTTGGCCCATAAATTTAGTTTAGAAAAGACAGACGTATCAGAATGTGCCTCAATGTTGTAAAAAAAAAACATGGAAATTGGTGATAGAAAGATATTTAAATCTGCTTCTATGCTTGCTAAGCGCTTGGCCCAGAATTAAAGTAGACGTTGTGAGTTAAAATTGTAGTTGGGGTCTACTCATCCCATTGTTCCTCTGGAGTCAATAATAACGAGGACGAGGCATGTACTAATAATAAGAATACCATTCTTATGCACACGATATTTCACGGACATGAATGGCCGTGACTCTAAGGTGCGGCGCCAAGCCTGGTGTCTGTTTGAAAGCCGGGCGAGGGAGCTAGGGCCCTTAAATTCCCATTAAAAGTCGGTGTAGATTGAATGCTGTCAATGTGCGTCGAGATGGCGTTCCAGATGGCATGGGGCTGGCATGGAGAAACGATGCCTGGCAGTGACGGTCTTGGTCCTTGGTGTAGATAGGAGGAGGTTGTAAGTCGTGCTGCTGCGGAGAGTTCCACCGTGAGCTGTCATGCAGGGCAACAGGAGTGAATAAAGATGCGGTCGATGACCGAGAGTAAAGATGCAGAGGCACGCGATCTTGTCGCTGACCCCGCTGACGATTCATCGATTAAAATTGATTGTTATGTTCTAAAAAATTCATTGAATTGTACATTTGAGAATCTATTAACAATGGATGCAAATGATATGCTCATGCTACGTTTACATATCGGCTGATTGAGTGAACAGGACTCAACGTGTGGGACATGATATAAACGAGTTGGTAAAAATGAGACAAAAATATTGATTCTTGAATCCAAACATGATTCTGAATCGAGCTGAATTGTTACGTGCCTAGTGAATACCACTTTGAAGGAAGACAACCATGGTTGTCTTATGGATTTACTGGTCCCTGTCATAGGAATGTGAAATTCCCAAATTCCAATCACTAGCTTAGTACCACTCGTGGGAAAAAATACTGTACCATTGATTTGACTTGTACACTTTCTGTGAACGCCTTCCCTGAAATGTCGTTTTTTTCTTCCCCATCGTGTTTTAATGTCAATTCATGTAAGGACTCTCGCCCGTCTTTCTCCGCAGAGCGTGAAACGAGACCTCATTCTGACGTCCAAGGGCCTGTACATGATTGGCCGTGAGAAGGTGACGAAAGGCCCTGACAAAGGCCAGGTGCGCGAAGTCCTCAAGCGCCACATTGAGCTCAACAAGATTGAAGGTGTCTCGCTCAGGTGAGCTGTGGGCACACACATAACAAAGATCTCGCGTATAGCCTACATCGTCTGTTGGTACAAGTGCTGTTCGTGAGCACCTGTGAAGTCCAGCTCAGTGCACAATAGAGTGGTCTGGCCAGCACCATACCTGGTCTCCCCAATGCTGATGTTTATATAGCACATCAAGTACTCATTTATGAGTGAGACGATCAACGGAAAGCCCCGGACTGGTCCTCGTATCACTTCCCACTGATGTTATCTTTGGCGGGGACTCATACTCGCCAGGTTCATAGCACAGTGTGCTAATCACTGCACCACCATGCACGTGCATGGGCCTATGCGTGTGAACGTAAAGATACACACAGATGCGTGCACATGAACGCATGCACGTGCACATGTACATGCATGGACACATGCACATTGACACAATCACGCACATACACAGAAAGACAAAGACCCCCATATTATAGCCTAAATAGACTTTTGGGGCAAATGCTGTTAGCGAGTAGCTATGAAGGCCAGCATGGGAAAAGAGGTGGTGGGTGACCAGTGCCATGCCCAGCCACCTTTGTCTGCCACGTGCTAATGTTTTGGGGCGACACATGCACACACACACACCCACTTACAAATGTATGGGCCTGTGTATGTGGACATATATACGATTAGCACAGTTGGCTATGTACGATGCGAAATAAGTTCAACATACATACATGGTTGCCAATGTGCACAAGCATGCACACATCTGCTTATACGTGTGCAGATTAACGCACGTGTGCATGCACAAACTTACAGGCAAACTTAAACAGCACACGGTGACGCACTCGTGTTCCTGCATCGACATTTGAACACTGCCAACGTACTTTTAGTGTTACAGGATCGAGATTCTCATTCTTTCACCAATGCGTGGGTGGAAACCCGCCAGCCATGCTTGTGTTTATTGGTGATATAAAGTTCATGACATTGGGCCAAAGGTGTTGTTCCTCAGGTGTTCAAAGGTCCTCCGTTAAAACAGTCACCGGTCATTTTACGTCACCATAAATTTTCAGCATGTGTGAGATTGTACATGCATAGCCCTTTTGTTAGTCAACTGCTAGTCATGGTTGCTGTTTGACCGTACTTCGCAACACTGGTGAATGCGGGAAGTACAGTACAACATTGGATTTTTCCACACTGAACTCTGCTGCCAAGCAGGTCGCACTCATTACACACAAAGTGCTTGCCACAAATGAACCACAACACCTTGCTGATCCCGTCAAGCAGCATAAACCATCACGCAAACTCCGGTCATTCTCGAAGCGTTTTTTGGCTAGCCATCGAAACAAAGACGGTCACCGCATTACGTGCTTTCAGATGCACTTCTGCGGCTGCCTGGAGCGCTCTACCGATATTAGGAAGCCACTGGAGCTATGCACTTTTAGATCTAGATTGAAAACGAATTTCTTTAGAACTGCTTTTTATGTTTAGTTTGTTGTCCTTCCCCCACATCTCCGATTAGCATGGTTGTCTTCGTACGGTGCGGAAGAAGTTCAACATACATGCATTTCCACAGTCCTATGACAACTTGTTTTGGCACTGTGGTCACCCACCTAAGCACTATTCAGGCTCAAACCTGCTTGGCATCTGAGATCTGATGAGATGGGTGTATATGCTGGGTGATTCAGTCATAGGAACGTAGGAGATTGTGACAACCAAAATTCATGGTGCTTTTTACTTGCAACATCTAATTAGGTGGCAGAGTGCTTGACTCACAATTGGGAGGTTGCAAACCGAAATCCAAGTTGGGTGTCAACGCACAGAGATAATCGTCAAAATGATGTTGAGTTAAATGCGAAGTAACACTTAGTGCCAAGTCAGCAGTGGTTGTCCTTTGGGTCGGCTGCCCCTACCATATGAAACGTGGAGTTTCCCCTACTGGATCAGGGCCATCGGGAGAGATGGGCGCTGCACCACACGCATTGGAGCGGGACAACAGTGGTAACCTTTGCCGCTTCAAAATCTATCCCTGATGCCATTCACCACAAGAATTGGACCCCATTTGGAAAGACAGTTCTCTATGTGTCGTGTTACGTTTCACTAGTATTGGGTATTGTCGTGTTTACAATTAGCCTGAGTGCTTACTGTAAACACCATAACAGTTCCCAAAGCACATGGTATCAGGAAATGAACAACTCTATTGCTAAAGCGGTAAATGGCTGTGCATTTATTTGTTAATGATATGGTTTCCCCCGCTGCTCTGTAGCTTATTGCTCCCCATCTCGGTTGGCTTTTGTGCCAGGTTCCATTTACCTCCCTAAATAATTTAGATCCCCAACCCGGGGGACCCCTATGGACAGAACAATCCTAAAGCCATCCCTGGCATCAAAGGGGGCTCGCGGAAAGCAAAGAATTCTATGGAGAAGGCATTATGAGGTCCAAATTACTTTTGCGTGCACGTCACTCCGCTGTTCGGTAACGCAGCACCCTACAAGACGACTTCTTCATCATCCACGAGGCGGAGTATGACAGCCTGCTGGAGTCCATGTTCAAGACCGAGTTCCTGAGCCTGCTCGTAAAGCGGTACGAGGAGCGGACTCAGCGCAAGCTGCACATGAAGTTCGCAAACAGGCAAGTGCATTTTCAACTTTCACGCGCATTGCCGATTAACCCCACCACACACGAATGCACTGAATCTCAAGAACGGTAGCTTCCTTTCCTCCCACTACTTTTTCCCCACTTAGGTGGAGCCATGACCAGGTGCACTTCGAGACTCTGGTGGGGTGGTGAATGTTTACCTTGAGGAGGTCACGACCAAGTTGGGTGGTGCCGTAGGTCCACTAGACTCTGGTGAATGGCAAATGCAACACTGCTCAAACGTGTTTCTACCTGCCTAAGGCTATGCAAGTTGTTGTGACCATTGCTCCTCCACATTGCTTCATTCGTGGACAGATCCTATTGCCAACTGCCCGGTATTCTTATTCGCTGACTGATCTGGACACCACTGGTACCAGTTCATGGCAAGTCTGCTTTGCTCGAATTCCTCCTATACCGCCTCAGCCCATCTCATTTCTATGCCATGCGGACAACACAACCCGTTCACCTTGGCCTCGCTTGCTAATGGACCCCACGGATGACACTGTCCAGATGATTTCAGTATCTGTGAGCTCATCACAACCTGACCTGGAGAAAGCCTTGATGGATCATAGGCAGGTCTTTCTGAATATTTCAAGTCGGCACGGGTAATCAGGCAAGGGGTCCATATGTCACTCCACACCTGCACACGCACCTACCACCGTTGATCTTTAGTTAAAATTAACATTTTCAGGAGTGACAAGTTTCACTACCACCCCCCCCACCCCCTAGTGATTTAATGAATTGTTGCAATTCAGGGTAATGATCAGGTTCAAGTCAAACGTACCCTCCCTCTCTAGTGGCTGCAAACACAAACACATAAGGCGAAAAACATATCTTTTACACGTAATTTGATGCATCGTCGCACCTGTAAAAGTTTTTACCTTGCGACATATGTTGTGTTTGCCGCAGCCTGGAGTTCAAGGTGAAAAAGGAGGGCTGGGGGGGGTGGCCAGGTGGTGGGGGCCCCCGTCAGGTCTCCTTCGTTCAGGGCCAGGGTGACGTGGCCGTGCTCAAGCCGAGCGGAAAGCAGTTCACAATTGCGATCGGACAGGGCCTGCCCAACAACTCCCGTGAGTTCCCACAAATTTGGGAGCAGTTATTTGGGTTTTAGACTGGATAAGCCAATCAGACAGTTCCCTTTAAATATGTTTTGCAGTGTGTACTCCTTTTATTGAGTTGTCTGTCATTAATGGTCAACTTCATCCACATGAGTAGCACTGTAGCAGTGCAATGCTTTCATACTATAAAGGTCATGAGGTCAAATTCCTGTTGGGGGCTCATTCGCCTTTTCATCTATACCACCCTTGACAGCTAGAGGAATATGTTACAGTAAAACCTTAGATTGCGAGTAACTTGGTCTACGAATGTTTTGCAAGACGAGCAAAAATTTCAAATAAATATTAATTTTAAAAACGAGCGAGGTCTTGCAATACAAGTAGTAACGTATACGCCTTGTCTGCCGAGCGTCACGTGATCACAACTGATATACGAGTGCTTTGGATTACAAACACGTTTCCGGAACGAATTATGCTCGCAATCCAAGGTTTTACTGTATTTCCATCACTGCCCAAGAAATTAGCTGCCCAACACTTATTTGGGCGTGGAGCCGACGTACGTTCATGTGAATTAAACTAAAGTGCAATGGAGCGATGTGCAGCTCCATCACGTGTGGGCCTGTCATTTCAATTGTGTTGACAATCGCGTTTGTCGGGACTCTGCAGGACCCACCAGACGCGACGCACCATCCGGGAGGTCGCGACCCCAAAACAGGGCAACGGCCAGTCACGGCGGTGGTGCAGGCAGGGGGCGTGGCCAGGGCACCTCAAGAGGGCCCAATTCTGGTGAGTTCCTCCTTCACGAGATGGAGCAAAGGAAGCTCCAGCATAAGAAAGGTTTTTTTTGGGTTAGATTACGTAAGTATGAATGTCGTCAAACCCGTTACGACCCGACACAGCCAATTGGGAAGGTTTGTCACGTCAACAAAAGGCGCCATTTAGTTACTACTTCAGCACACCGGTGTGTTGGAGAGTAAACCCGCAACATTTAAATTCGAGTACCATTTTGTATATTTATAGTCACACGACCTAAACCAAAAATACTTTATTATGGATATTGGTTGTGAAAGCCTACGTGTTCAACTGACTCAGCTCCAACAGTCGCTTATGAGATTTGACTATTAAGTAAGTATAAGTGTGTAAATACCCCACTGATTTTTAATGACCTCCTACGTTCTTTTCAACAGGTGATTCAATATTGTGAAAGCGATGGATCTGTGTCATACAGAGCAGAGTGTTTAAATATTTAATTCGTGTATTGAGATGTGTAGGAGATATCTTTATTGAAATTGAGATAATGTTATCTCAAAATTTTTATACAATTCCAGTAAGGTATCTCAATTGATATTAAGGCTGCACAGCACTTTTTCAGCTGGGGAGACGCTTTGTTTTTTATATCACATTGCTGTTATCTACAATATTCTGCATCGTAGCAAAGTGGTACCTTTACTGTTGGTCTGGATGTCCCACAGCATATTCGGTTGATAAGCTACCCACCCACTTGTGAATATGTACTATATGCAACAGAGGAAAATGCCACAGTTAGAGAACACACTGTGTTCGAAAATAGATAAAGTTTTGCTTCTAAAATATGATACACTTTAAGTACGTCTGGCTTCATATCAGTTCATAACACAACTTTAGCGTTGCTAGAGCTAGATTACCAACTTCAGCTGACATCCATGGTGAGTGACATATAAACCAGTTTTCACCAACCTGCAGTAAGGTATTGTCAACAAACCCCCATGACCCACAGAACTTGGGTATGCCTTCATCTAGTAGAGGCTTGACAAATGCCTGTAAAATTATAATTTTTCTTATGTGAATAATCATAATCCTTTGAATACTCGTTGCAGCAATGCAGATGATTGTAATGACTTCACGTTAACCCGCGAATCACGCACCAACCTCTTTTCCGTCATGCACCCGCAGGGCCACAATTCCGTCCTCCACAGCAGCAGCATCAGCAGCAAGCGCCCATGACTCAGCAGAGGCAGAGCGCGGGGCCCCAGCGTGGAAACCCCAACCACCGGCAGTCCGGCATTGGTGGCGACGCGCCATCCCTGCCCCGCCAGGGCGCCAGCACGCGCGCCCGCGTCGAGCCCTCGCGACAGGAACCCCAGGACCTGCCCTTCATGCGTGTCCCAGACAAAGGGGCTGCCGGGTGAGTCCATTCAGGACGAGTCTTCTTTTGTTTATATCCTGAGTACCTTTGGTATTTGTGCCATTATTGTAGCGCAGTGCTACGGTGAAGGTGCTATGTTTCACGCATGCGGGTTTTGTCTTGCAGGAGGTGCCAATGTGGCCTACTGCATCGTGCCCTTTTTATTATTTTTTTCATTCAGATTTCCATCGCTTTATGCAGCAGATTCGTTCCAAACAAAAGTGCACACAAAGCGAAACCGCTCGAGATAACCGTCTGCCGAGTAGCGCATACAGTACACACAGCAATGTTGTCCCACGTCCAACGGCATAGCCGCATGTGAGTGAATTCACATCGCATATAGCAGGTTTTGTGTAGAAATAGATTAGCCATATATACGTAAAATCACGTAAACCGAACCCAGATAAAGCGAGGGAAACATGGAATGACACGATATCTTTAACGTCCACTGTGAAGCAGACAGCATATGTGTATTGGTAAGTCAGTAGCTTACTGAAAAAATAGTGGCACTTTTTTTTATTCACGGCTGCTGAATGTAGGCCCAACATGCCAAGTTTCCAGCAACAAACAGCAATATTTAACATTTAATAGTTACGAGTTAATACGTTTCTTGAATTGAGCAAGGCTATAAGAACTTGGCAAAAGAAACAATGGAAGGGCATTCCAAATTCGAGCAGTGCCAGGAAATAAGCAGAAAGGGAAGCGTTTTGACCATCTTTGAACCCTTGGTGGAATTTCCACATTAACATGGCAGGGTCAGGTTTTTCCACAAGAAAGTACTTGTTTTATCCACCACAGTGTGATGATGAGCTCAGCCGATCACCGACTGGGATTCAAAATTACGACCTGTTTAAAAGTGAAGCGGTCTTCATAGTTAGTAACAACACAATGTAAAATGTAAACGCACACAATTGCCTGCAATTGAAGAGACCCATAAATAATGCCTGACATAATGGTTCATCTACAGGGCATAGCAATCACGCCTAGCTCACAGCATCTGTACAACTTAAAAAAATAGTGTTTCCTTAACTAATGAATGTGTGCTTTCACTAGAAGAATAATCCATTGTATTATGTTATCTTAGGCACGGTGGTGGGTGTGGGATAGAGGTTAATTTAGCTATGGGTAATATCCCACAGGAATCAGCACTGATAATGGAACACATCCTCGTTTTTTAATGTTTTAAGCGTTCGTGTGTTTCAATAAAATCCAATTAAATTGCCATTTCTTTTTTACTTGCAATTGTTTTTTTCCCAAAAAGTTTGGCAAAAAAGCAATTTACAGGTATGGGCCACAGTTGCCATCGTATTGGAAATCTATACATCCTTAAATTGAGCAGATGTTACAAGTACAGCCTGTGATTTTGGCTTTCAGTGAATACAGATGTTGTAATTACTGGACAAGTTACGGCTCTGAAAGCAGGATATGAACCAATCTTCCCTCTTGGCCTGCCTTAGCTTCATGTAAAACATCATTCTGCAGCACATTTATACAGTTGCGGTCTAAACTTGCAACCAGCCGTAATTTGCCTCTAAATAGCTCCACTATTATAGTGAGGCTTGCCAGTACCTGCCTTTTAGTAATATGGTAATGCATTGCATGCAACACATGATTTCACAACTGTACCATCTTCATCATCACCATCTTTATTTATATACATTTACGTACACTTCCTCTGAGGCTTCCGCACTATTCTAGAGTAATTTCATCATGGAAGTGCCGGTAAAATATTCTTACATTGGTCCATACGTAGTTATTTATTTATTTATTCTCCATTATCCCCAAGTAACGAGTCTCAATGAATGGAGTGGATTTCCCAAGTCAGATGAGAGTAAAATTAGCATTGGGGTGATGCTCATCTCCATTGACGGTCGTGTGCCAGTAGAGGAAATTCCTTGTTATTATGGCTATGGATAATATTTACATATTACAATGACTTGTTGGCTTCCCATACAGTGCTCATTTTTATCCACAAAAGACACATGATGGGTATAATACATTTATCTGGTATTTTAACTCACGTGCTCTCCTAATTGTCATTGGCAACTAGCCAGAGGTGAATACATGCCCTGACTCTACACAACATTGCATTAATTAGATCACATCCCTTGATATGGCGGAAAATTGAGTGCTGCCCTCCCTCATGCACGGTAGATTGCAGAGACGGCTGTCTCAGGAGCGCAAGCCACCCCCGGGCGCCGGACGCCCCAAGCCTGCGCCCAAGCCCAAGCCGCGAGTGCCCCAATGCCGTGCCCTCTACCCTTATGATGCACAAGACACGGACGAGCTGAGCTTCAATGCCAATGAGGTCATCGACGTCCTGCGGGAGGGTAGGTGACACATGCACCGCCGAGACGGAGTGACTATCGTGCCGTTCTTCCATCAGCCCAGGTGTCTGAGCAGTGCCGATGTATGCCGTACCTGCCTTCCGCTCCCTAACTTGTGCTGTGATGCCCTCCTACTTTTATATTAGCGTTCCTTGCAAGCTGGTGGCAATGTGGATTGTCGGTTCACATGCAGTTATTTAGGTGTGTTTAATTTGCTGTACTTCAAACGCACCTTTGATGAGCACGGTTGGCTACGTACGGTGCGAAAGAAGCTCAACATACATTTGATTTGGAGCTTTCGTGACTGCAGGAATTACTCTTTGTTTTTTTCGGTAAAGTCACGTAGAAATAAGAAATAATAATTGAATTACATAATAGCATACGACGTTTCGATTGCAATGCAAGCAATCATCATCAGGCATAGAAGAGCTACATTTAAGAGAGAGAGGAAACACAGAACCGCAGATATAGATACAGACACCTAAGTAGAGGGAGTTAACACAGAGGCACAAAGAGACACAACGTATGGAGCACATGGAGATAGGGTCTTTGCATTGTCTCTGTTTGTGTCTCCGTGTATGTGTCTTGTCTCTCTCTCAAATGTCACACTTAACTTAAGTTTGTGTCTCTGTGTTGTCTCTAACTGTGTTTCTGCCTTTGTGTCTATGTGTATGTGTCTTGTCTCTCTCCACAGTCCCTGTGGGCATGCTAATCTGATTTTGTGCCCCTCCCCCCCACCACGCTGAAGCGACATGTGTGTGTGCCTCTACTTGCTCCAAGTCAGTCCATGCTAATTTGTATCCCTTTATCTCTGTCTCCGCCCCCCCTCTCCCTCTATTTAAGGCTTCGACACAGAAGCACTGTTTCACTGTGTCCCATGTGTGTGTCTCTCTCTGTGTGTCTCTGTGCTAACTCTCTCTGCTTAGATGTCTATATATGTGTCTGCGATCTGTACTCTATCACTCTTAACCTATAATTTAGCAATCTTTGAAATAACGTAATCAGCCAGACAATGCGTTAATTGTGTTTTGACCGACCCTCTGTGCTGCATTATATTGTTTCCAAATTTTACTAAATCTTGTTCGATTTTATGTGCTTCTCCATCTCTCTTTGTCTCCCCTACATGCTAAGGCCTCGGCACAGAGACCCTATCTCTCTGTGCTCAATACGTTGTGTCTCTTTGTGTCTCTGTGTTAACTCCCTCTACTTAGGTGTCTGTATTTATATCTGCGGTTCTGTGTTTCCTCTCTCTCTTAAATTTAGCTCTTCTATGCCTGATGATTATTGCTTGCGTTGCAATCGAAACGTCGTATGCTATTATGTAATTTTATTATTTCTTATTTCTACGTGACTTTACCGAAAAAACCAAAGAGTAATACATACATTTGTATCCTCTCGACCTGCTAGTCTCGTATGCTGGCTGACGATGTGGTGTTTTCTCTCTCTCTGCCTTGCCAAAATCTGTGGTGCTGATTCAGTATTTGAGAGGCCTGATTAATATTTTTGGGCCTTTTTGGAAGCAGGCCTAGTAGATTCAGTGGGGCTTACATTAGCTATTGTAGATTAAAGGAATGTAGCACTAAATGTAATCTCCATGATCAGTTGTATTTCCCAGAGCCTTGAAAAAGAACCGAATTCCATAGTCTGCAGTGACACCTTGGCCTCGATTTGTAAACAGAGGCTTCTCCCCATGGTTTTGTATTAATCATGTGATGGTTACCCACGTGTGCATGGTCCTCACATTGCACTATATCTCTTCAATTAGAGCCAGTGAAGGTGTTAGAGTGCGTAAGTGGTGTTGCTGTCTCTTACTGGCATTTATTCATGTTCATTTCCTACTAGTCCAGAATGCCAACAATGTATTGCGAGTAATAAAAAAATGGCATTTGTGATCATTAAAAAAAATTCAATTGACAGTATATCCACAATGCAGTGCCATCTCACCGAGATTCATAACAGGCCTCAGTGGGTATGGAAATGCAGGGGTGTGTCTGGAGACATCACACACAGTTCTTAGCCCAAGCAGGCCCACCAGTGCACATGCTTTTCTTCCCAAGGTGACTTGCGACATGCTACCATGGGGAGCTTTTTCACTCCACGCCATTACGGGAAGCATAAACGCTGTCTGGCGTGGACAAGGCATAAGTGATGTATGACAATGGCGGATATAAATTTTTCAAAATAAATTTATGCAAACCGACACACCTGATGATGACCGTTTGAGTTATGGTCGAAACGTCGTGAGAATTTTTTATTGTTTTATATATATTTTGTTATTTTGTTGTTTCTCTTCAACGTGACTTTACCGAAAAAACTAAGAATATAATGGCGGATATGTTTCCCGCCTGACATCATTGCCTCGTCATAGAGAAAAGGGCAGGAGTGCATAAGGGCCCTGTTAAGTTTGTACTGTGCATAATTATGCCCACGACATTCTGGTGCCATTCAAAAAGCTGTAGCAGGGGAAACACCTAGTGATAAATGTTTGAATAGTGGCCATGGTCTGCAGTATTTTAAAATGTTGTTCACATGTAGTGATGCCCACTTTCCTATTTGGGCTGGCATTGTGAAATATTGGCAGTGAAAATGTCTCGTGGGTAATTATAACAACTGTCTGCACAATGTCACTAAAATAAAATAATAATTCTCAATGCTAATTGGTAAATTACGCAAAAGTCATTATCAATGAAGTTCCCGGGAGGATTTAGATTCTACTTTCCACCATGAAACTACATTTTCCAAACGAAACATGGCTCATTCCCGCTGTGCTGCAATGCTTTAATACCGTAGTGTATAATGAAACTACAGTGACAAAACAATTCAGATGAGTTTTCTTTTTATAGGTAAATATGTTCACGTGATGACGAAAGAAGGGCAATTGATTCAAACATGTCACTGTGTTGAATATATTTACTGTAGTCGGCAAGTAAACGATTATTAACCCCCAGTGATTCGATGAATTGTCACGATTAAGGGAATCAATGTTTGTCTCGATTGCGCTGTGCCTTGTTTTGGTTTCTCAATGTATGCATGGATACATGCATGTATCATGAGTGGATGCATGTATCATGAGGGTTAGAATAGATTATAATCAATAAATTGATGCATTGTCACATGCCCAATATAGTATACGTCTGTGTCTACACTAATGGAGACACCTTACTTGATAAAGCATAATTTATGGACAATATTATTTATGAGAATAGGTTTCCCCCTCCTTTTTCTGGCAACAAAACAGGTGTTAAGATGCTAAAACCCCAAACTGAAACCTTTTACAAGGAATCATGGCTGCATTAACCACAATACTTGTGGTTAGAATGCAAACAAAAAACATACTCTGATAATATATGCATTGTCGTTGAAACTGATTGGTCCACACCAGAGACAGCTTTCTTTTGAGCCTCGTCTCAAAACGGTGTTAGACCAGAGGACGCCACAAGGCGTGTTATTAGTAATGTATTATTAGTAATTGTACATGAACGTTATATTATATTAATTGCCGTATATTCTTAGAACTTTCGAGAATGTTATCAGTATTGGTCAGCGTTATAACCTAAACGTATTGAATCCTAGGCAAACAAGGGTTCTCTACTCGATGGATTACTGTGCAAGCAAAGTGGATGGTAGTGTACAGACACCATTTTCAACTGCATTTTTAAGTACAGACATTTGAGTTTATATTTTTAGTCAAGTACAACAAATTGACATTGTTAAAGCTTAAATCTACATTCACTGTGTTTACACAAAGGTATGTACACTACACTCACAACCTGTCCTGTAGTAGAACTCCTCTTATCCTGACAATGTGGGTGGGGTGAACATTTGTAAATCCTGTTATCTGTAAAAAAAATTGCAGATAATCTATGAATTTGCTGAGCAACTTCACTTTTTTGAGAAAATAAGACCGTGTTCTGCAATTGGAGAAAACATGGATAAATCACGGATAATGAAAAGAATAGGACATGAATAATAATACATTTTTAGACCCTATATCTCCCATGGGTAATAGGATTCGCAGGTAAATAGGGTTGCTGATAAGATTTCTGTTATCATTACATTTGTACAATTCTATAATTGTTAATGCCGTTAACATCTACAGATGTTTCTGTAAATCTGTACTTACTTTTGCATTAATTCCTCATCAGAAACAATACCGGCTTATGGAAAAGTGATGGAAATTAACTGAATGATGGTCAATAATTATTTATCACACAAGAAAGTAAGTGTGACCTATGGACCATCAAAGCACGGGTAGAATTTTTTTGTGTGGCTACCTGATTAAAATTTACTTATTAACATTCTATAAGAACAGTACAGTACATTGTCTCCTTAATCCTGTTACTTGAAATAGCATCAGTATTCAGGCTGCATTGTAGGATAGAGGGTATAGAGGAGAACCCAGTTGTGAGATCACTCTCATTATAGACTTGCTCGATTCAGTATAATCTCTCTGCATCTGACTTATGTGCGAATCCCTTTAAATCAACTGTTCTTTTGATTTGTAGATTGCTGAAGGATAGGGTACTCTTACAAACGAAACCATCTACCGTTCAATTCGCAACTTTAATCTGTTGTTCCATAATTGAAGATGCGGAATTGAAACTGAACAAGCAAGGCTTCAACTGGAACTGGAACGTCTACAGGCATAGCTGTGGCAGGAAACATGTCCTGCCAAGTGTTAATGCAACAAAAATTATCACTTGTGTGTGGATTGGGATACGTTTCCAGTTTTTTGGTAAATTCCCACAAAAAAATGATGAATGGAGCTAGCTATTAAATTTCGCATGAAGCAAAAAAACGTTTCGGATTGATACGAATATGACGTCGTCGATAGTGACATCACTTCCACAGTGTCACCTACATGCTTTTCCCACCGAAAGTGCTGTCAATTGATGATATGTAAAGTCACTTCAGCTTAAATTATTTAACTATGTATTTACATCTAATTATTGTTTTACTGGTGGAACTTACAAATTTCAATCCAAAAAATACATTTTAAGAATTTTTTAATGATTAAATTAGTGCATGAACAAAGATGATTCAAATGTAACTAATAATAACAAAACTGGAATTGGGCTTAAATATCCAAAAATCTGATATCAGGCAAACTTAGTCCAAAATGTATCCTGATTGGATAATACGAGACAAACAACAGTGGGCCTGCTATTTTTGGGTTTCCAGCTAACTTTATTTTCAAGAAGTGTACTTTCTTCAGGATACAATATATACGTAATATTTGTTGAATACATGTATTTAGGATGGCAGTGAATCATTTTCAAAGCTAAATTAGCTACACGTGACAGATTCCATCCGATTCCAGAGGGTTGTAATCAGAACACGACAGTACTGTAAAAACAATGTACTGTGCTAAGCACAGCAGTGACTTTGACAAACAATTCAAATTTTTAAAATGGAAATTTACCCAACCTATTCAAATACATACAATGTTCTCATCACAGCAGTGGCTATTTGACACATAATTCAAATTTATAAAATGGTAATTTACTCAACACATTCAAATACATTTTATATCGAGTAAGCCCAGTTATCTTATTTCTTAATGGAAACCAGTGCGTCAACTAGTGCTGGATGACACATAGAATCCTATTAATGGATTAAGAAGCAAATAACTTAGAAATGTGATACCTATCAGTGTCCTTGGTATTGTACTGATAATGGTATTGCTTAAGCAACAACACCTTGGTAATGCCAAATTCCAAATTATCCAATCTCTGGCTGTGGACAATGATTTAGTATTGGGCAATGCCTTGACATATGGCAATACCTTCGTAATAAGCAGAACCTTAGTTTTAGACATCATTTGGCATGAGAAAAAAACCTTGGAACAAGCACTGGGCAATAGATAGATGACCATTCTAACCATGTGCCCACTGAGACGAGAAGCCTCGCTTTAGTTAGTCCTCGGTTTAAAGTCCAGCAAACAATGTCCTATACAGTACTGTTTTGAGGTACAGTATTGAGTAATACCTTTAAATTCCCTGTATGGTATGGCATAGTATATTGTCACGTAGGCATTAATAAAGTATTGTGATCCTGGTCTAGTCCAGCAGTGCTAATGGACCGGTAATTTTATATACAAGGCGGAGTATCATTTCGAAGATAGTGATGCAGGCTTCACACAGTGCCTGCACGTGTCACAACGTCTGCTTTAATAATACCGGATGAAATATGATCACCTTAATGTCTCAGACTGTGTGAAACATGACATTTAAACTAGTGTCAATGTGGTGTGTGTGTGTGAGAGAAAATTTCGACATTACAGTGCACATGATGGACATGTTTTAAATACTGTAGTCAAATCCAAACAGAATGTCAAGAAATAATAAACTTCGCAAGGATGCAATTAATGCTAGCAGTTTTGGCATTCATCTGTTCTTCCTCTGGTCAAAAAAAAAGAGTTCCTTTAATAATTAATTATCTGTTTTTAATAATTGACATATGTAATTTTATGTATATTATTTATAGTTGGTTTCATTTACACATTGATTCCCGAAAAACATATGCAGGCCTGAAGCCGCCATCAAATGGCACAGCAGAATAAAAATGTGAAAAAATTATATGTGTTGGACATGCTCCTTATTAAAATAAATTAGACACTCCATACATCCTGGTCCAATATCTTGACGTGCACACAATTGTACAAAAAAAGGGTGCAAACACATCTGCAAAATAACATTTGTTTACTATAAATTAGCATTTATATTAAAATACTTATGCTGGAAGCCACGTTACTGATTGTTGTGACCTTGATATTTTTTTTTCCAGCTGATAGATCAGCACTAATTGGCTGAGATGTCACTGGCTTTTTAGTGTAACCGTATTGTGGTTCTACATTTGTTCAGTCCCTCCCTTGTGGGAGAGAGAGAATACTTCGACTTCATCTTTAAAAGCTGGCATTCTATTAATGACTGTGAGCAGAAACATGTACGCTTGTGGTCCTCGAACATTAATTGAATCATGAGTGTCCTGATTTTTATTTTAGGCCTGGTCCAGAAAGACAATGTATGCAGATCTTTGGCAACGTAAAAAAGCGGCAAAACCTAAACTAAAGCAAATTTTCGATTTAAAGCTTTCGTGACTGCAATGATTCATCTTCTTTGGTTCTTTCGGTAAAGTCACGTAGAATGAGAATAAAATAATAAATTGATAAAATAAAATAACACAATAATATTCTCACGACGTTTCGGCCACAACACAAGCGGCCTTCATCAGGTGAAGGGACGAGACTGTCTGGTAGGACAGCGCTGGAGTGAAAAAGCCACGTTCAGATCACGACCTTTAAGCTGTGTGAGAGGAAACAAAGCGCCTTGACAAAGGAATTAGCATATAGTTTAGCATTGAAATGGCTGAGTGATTAGCTTGTGACTGGTCACAGAAATGGCTATGTTAAAAGTTAAAGCATACACATCCGCAGAGGCACCCCTTGACAAAGGAATTAGCATAGAATTTAGCATTGAAATAGCTAAGTTAAAGCATACACATCCGCAGAGGCACCCCTTGACAAAGGAATTAGCATAGAATTTAGCATTGAAATAGCTGAGTGATTAGCTTGTAACTGGTCACAGAAATAGCTATGTTAAAGTCAGAGCATACACGTTCACCGAGGCACTTAGTACAAATCAAACAGGAGAATTTAGCATTTAAATAACTAGGCAAATTTAGCATTGAAATAACTGAGTGATTAGCTAGTGACTGGTCACAGAAATGGCTATGTTGAAGTCAAGGCCTACACATCTGAGCTGTTCACAGTACTATATAGTGAGCCAATAAAAAACTAAAATATAAATTACCTTAATGTTATCAATAAACTCTATATTCTCCAATCAGCTAAGCTACCAACAATAAGTCATTATATATCACAATGCTATATGACGAAAAAATGGGTGGATTCTTACCCTCAACTTTAGCAACACGGATAGCTACGGGCCCCATTCAGACGGACGAGTTCATCCATGGTCGGAACAGAGGAGGGGGAGAGAGACAGCTGCGAGGCGCTATTATACTCCATGTTGTAAACCATACCATTAACCGTGGTGTGAGAGGTATTAAGAGTCAATGCTGGCGAAAGAGCTGCGGTCTGAAGGTCATCGTAAAATACAATTAATTAAGAACAGAAATGGTTTAAAACATCTTTCCAATGGTTGCTAAGCCAGAATCCATCTTCTCGGTTGAAATTGTCTCTGTGCTTGTATATGTGTATGGCCTCATGAACGAATCTCTCATGGTAGCCGGTTGGTTTGCAAAGAACCTCCGTCTTGGAGAAGTCAATGTCATGTGAGCCCACTGAATTATGACAGTGATCTGCCACGACAGAGGAGTTCGTTCTACCGTGTTTCAAGTCTGCTTTATGTTCGCGGATGCGGTCCGAGATATGTCGTTTGGTTTCTCCAATGTAGCTACTACCACAGTAGCTCCTCTGCCGTGGCAGATCACTGTCATAATTCAGTGGGCTCACATGACATTGACTGAAACGTCGTGAGAATATTATTGTGTTATTTTATTTTATCAATTTATTATTTTATTCTCATTCTACGTGACTTTACCGAAAGAACTAAACTAAAGCAATTAGATATTTTTTTCTACCAAACTGCCTTTTCTGCCAACTTATACATCTGATGCTTTGCATTGGACTATATTGCATATGGATTTACAGTACTTCATCACTGTATATAGGACATGTTTTCTGTTTCCTCTGGTCACAGATCCTTCTGGCTGGTGGACTGGCCGATTACGAAACAAGCAAGGCCTCTTCCCTGGAAACTACGTAGAGAAACTCTGACCTGTCTCATGGCTCGCATGTGCTCTCATGCTAGTTTGTGTGTGTGTGTACGTGCGTATTAATGTATGCACAGTTGTGTGTGTGTGGGTGAACGTTAAGCCCTTTTTGCATTTGGAAACATGTTTTTCTGCTGCACATCACTCTTCCTACTTTTTTACATTGGATTTTCAATCTATAAATTTTTATACTCGTGTCATGTGGTTGGGATTTTGGAATCATTGGCAGCCGACTCCAAATTGGCCTTTTGCGTTCATGTGATCATATTCTTCTCTGCCAGTTTTGTCGAGTGGCATAAGTGGAATACAGTTTTGTTGCTTGGTTTAAGCAGGATACTATCGACTGATATCCTGCATCTATAATGACTTATGCATTGCAGCTATGTATTATGAAAACACGCTTCTGTATGCAAATGCAACCTAATGTTCTGAAACCTTTGCATCGCAGCAAAAATCTACGACCAATGGTGACCTCACTGGCTGTGTGGGATTCTGGACTGATTAAACTATTTAGGCAGTTTTGCCTGTATAATACAAGTAAGCAGTGCAAGCATTTTCAATGTGGTTTGTAACCAAATGTGCCTGCATGCTTCTGCATGTATGGTCTGCTGCCATCCTGCCTAAGATTTGTTATCAATTCCACCGGTACATTCCTTCTTAGCTGAAAATCACATCTGCTCTGAAGGTTTTGTAGTGATTGTCCAGCGAATAACCCACAATTGGACATTGACAGGCTACACTTTTCAAAGCCCGTTTGTTACAGAAACATAACAATTCCATGAAATTACTATGTATAAACTCCAATGTTTTTAAAAACTAATCACATTACCTTACCCATTAAAATGCCTTTTTATAATACAGTACTGTATTATTGGTCTTTTACAAAAACAAAAATGGAAATACCATATTAAATATACACACACAACAATATTTTGCGGGCTATTAACCGGTTATGTTGCAACGGAGCAAAACATTTCTCTAAAATATATTGTCTTCATTTTACACCTAATTATTAGCAATTTTGTTGTAAGAGCAATACACCCACACGCCTCAATATGGTACTAATTAAAACCAGGATTATTTAAGTGACTCATTTTACGTTTAATTATTCTCATGTAAAGTATCTTCCGAATGTGGAATTCATAACCAAAGTTGGATGGCTGTAATACAGAATGTAATATTACCATCCCGTTGACTAACATTTCCACTATCAGCAACTGGAAAAAAGGTCATCAGGGTCAGAATTGAACCCGTGCACACGTTTACTTGCACTGAGAGCACATGTGTAAATGCTGGAGCCCTGTTTAAAAGCGCAGGATAATTAGGAGTGGAGGTGTCAGACAGTACAACGTTACCATCAGGCCCCAGGCCCTTTGGGTGAATCCAAGAGCAGATCTCACAAAATCACACGTCTCTATTACTGCTGCTGCTGCTGCTTGACCGAGGCGTGAAGTCTACAGTACTGTAAATGCATACGAGTGATATTGTTGGGTGTTAGGCTTAATGCTGAGAGTTGTCTCTTTGCATAGCACAATCATACCTTTACGGTTGCCTGATGGACTTGCGTATTGGTTGCAGGGATCATTTGAACGAGTGGTAATTTTTAAGCGATCGTACGGTTTTTTTATATTGAAAATGTCATGGAAGCTGGAGCACGACTGTGTTAATGAATCGGCATGATCATTAAGAGAGAAACGCCAGTGAGATAGATGCAAAGGGGGAGCAGTCGTTAGTTCATGTAAATGTAATGAGAACTGTAAAATTGCATTACAAAAAAATGATGCATGAAATCTGCATGCAAAACATTGCTGTGGATGTCCAGAGGAGAAATCAAATTTTAAAACGCTTAAATTGTGAAGCATTAGCCTTTTTTTATGGAAGCTGGAGTATGTGGTGTTAATTGATTGAACGTTTGCTTTCCTGCAAACACAGGACACATAGTGGAGTGCCTTTTTACTTCGTTTCACAGCGTGAAATTATGGACCTTGTAAATTACTCACACAGGGAATGGGTTGACTGTAGATTGAGCTTAACATTTATACTTTACAACAGTGAGTGAGGAGTGACAGTGATTAGCTCACAATGCTGCTATATCATTGATCAGAGTTTGATTCCATGCCTGGGCAAGGGTCTTATTTCGTGCAACTTCAATTGGTTTCTGTAGCCCTTGAGACTTGTCCTCAGGTCAGCTTGACCTGAAAAGAATGACTAGGAAAGGAAATGAGCAATCAATGTGCATCTGGCCACACATTCTATGCAACTGAGTAGCTACTTGCAACATGTCAACACATTTTTCCTTATTGCTTGTCATTTTGGAATATGCATTTTGTATGTAACAACAATATGCGCTACAAATATGGTATAATTATTGTAGACTAATAAATACATTTTCAAAAGATGTGCCATAAGGAAATCAAAAATCTCAAAACAATTCCAGTGTCTCCTTGCACAAACAAAGAATGAGGGGTGCTGCTCACCTCCACCAGTGGCTCAGGCCACTGGTGGAAATTCCAAATTTCTCCATGCATAGATAGGCTAATTTCTATAGGACAGCTGTTGACTTCCCACAAGTACTTCCTAGTTTAGCCACCCTGGTGGGATGATAGCCAGGATTTTAACGAGCAACGTTCCGCTTGTGAGACAAACACTCCAATGACAGTGCCACCCCCTCTGGATTCCAAGATGAGAACATTGGCTCCTGAACAGCACTTGGAGGACCGCGAGCCCGTGACTAAAGGAGAGCAATCTGTGTGCATTGAAGCAAATGCCTTTTTTGTGTACCCCTGTAGAAACGACAACTATATTGCTGCACCCACACAGGGCCTGACTTGAGTAGGTTGCGATTGAATTCGTTTTTTTGCGATCGTTCGAACGCGGTACTATACCTGCACACTGTACAGAATGTATGTGTGTGCTACTGAAGTGCTTCACGTTGATACATTTTGTTTGCATAGTTGGGTCCATTGTGCGTGCCTTAGAGACGCTGTGGTCCGAATACAGTTTAAATTATATGTACGAAACGGTAAATGGAATCACTGGCGGTAAGCATTAATTTAAACATGGGGAGTGTCCTTTTTTAACTAGCTTGAACGTTTTACCAAAAGTGCTCATTTAGGTATGTCATGTTTCGCGTTATCTATTTACGAAAATGTTTAAATTGGTACGGTTTCCATATATTGTATGCTGTTTTGATGGCCGCTTTAACATATACTGTAACTTCGCAAATCAATCCGTTGTATTAATACTGTAGTACAAAGCAAACATTGAATTGTTTGATCCTCAAATGGGCAGGTTTGGGTTTCTATAATAAAAGGAATGTGACTTTACTGTATTTGCGTTATTTGTCATGTGCTTTTCATTGCATAACATTTTGAGAGCACACCACAGTCAACACAATGCAATTCACGTGTGAAATATCAATCATGGAATATATCTTAATTGTTCTATTCCAAACTATACACACCAACGTGCTGTGAGAATTATGGGTAAAAACCTAAAAGCGGTAATCCATTCAGTCACATCTTGCACCAAAGCAGCGTTTGTTTAACAAGCCTCAATACCGAGTGTCCTGTCCAGAGCATGCTTGCTTAAAGCAATGCTGCTGGATAATATTGGTTTGGAAAGCCAATAGGCCAATGGACAAAGACATTTTATATGTACATAACAGAGTTCTGTTTATATTTGCTTACCTTCACAAGTGAAACAACCGATTTGAAGAATTACAGATCATTAGATTCTTATCACATTGTTCACGGAGGTTATAGGGAACTACAAAGAACATTGTGGAGGCCAACTTGCCACATGCGCAAGTAAGATTGACAAAATACATACTCTTCATAAACTCCTGGAATAGGCAAGTACATATAAAATAACATTACGGCTGGCATTTACGGACGGAAAAAGACATTGATGCAGCAGAAGCAGGTATCCAAGCTGTTACAAAACAAGGTCCTAATAAAAAAATATTATTTGGCAATGATAATTTATAACGATGGAACAGCTGCACCGAGATTGAAAAAAAGCAAACAAATAAAAATAGAGGAGTCCGGCAAGGAGATTAGCTCTTCTTCTTTGGTTCTTTCGGTAAAATCACGTAGAATGAGAATAAAATAATAAATTGATAAAATAAAATAACACAATAAAATTCTCACGACGTTTCGGCCACAACACAAGCGGCCTTCATCAAAGGCTTGAACAACAGAATCTAAAACTTTAATTTATAACTGCTATTGTATATGGATAATAAACAGAAAATTGATTAGAACCTTGAAGTGCACTAAGGAGCATGGCATGATGCATGCTTAGAATTACATTGAGAGACCACTTGGAACAGGGAATTCAAAGTAGAGGTATTAAATTGACTTAAGAAGAATAAGCAAGCCTGGGCAGGACACATTGCTAAAAGTGAAGGTGGCTAATGGACACGATCAGACAAAATGTCAGTCAAAAGAGAAAACAAGCCTGAAAGGATGACCACCGTGGGGATGGAGAGATGCCATCATTCCGATATAAGGAAGCCACTGGAGTGATGCACTTTGAAATCATCTAGATTGAAAACTCATTTCTTTAGAACTGATTTTTGTGTTTAGTTTGTTCCCCCCCCCCCCCCCCCGGTACCTCCGATTAGCAGTTGGCTACGTAAGTTCAAAATAGAGGGATGGTGACGTTAGTAGATAGAAATGAGCCAATGATGATGCTGATGTCAAATACTGTAATTTTCATGTAATGTGTTCTTTGCGTTCCCTCTTCCCCCCTTATGAAGACTTCGATGCCCCTCACGTGAAAATCACAGCTGCAAAGCTGCTTCGATATGCATCTGGTGTTGGTCACTGAATATAATGCGTCACCTGTGGGTAGGCTGCAAAATTTAACTTGACAGCGATGCAAAGCAGATGCCACAAGGCACTTCAAAACAAACTGTAAATACCAAATGGGTATATTTGGAATGTAAAATTTTACTTATAAGACAATAAAAACACATTTTTTAAAAACAATATGACATCTCATACGTAGGTGAGCATCAATAGCATTGCAAGGCCAAAATGGGGAAATAGCATTACATATGATTTGACAAGTAAGGTATGTTATTATAAGATGGGAGTAGGCAAACGTGAAATGGTGAAACTGCCTGAAAAAACTTCTTTGATTCACCCAATATTAACTTGATGCACCTGGCCATTAAACTGTGCTTGGGACAGACAGGTGGGATGCATTTACGATGGGTGAGTCCAAAAGGCCAGGGGGGTGTTTTGACGTCTGCCAAAAAATGCAGTTGCAGTATTTAACCCTTGGCTGCCCACGTCATGCATGATGTACAGAGACGTGTTTGAATTCAACTATAATGTTCCTTGAATTGTAAGGCGCTACAGAAATGAATATGCACTCCCGCTAACTTGTGCCTGGTGTCAACGTAGTCTTACAATTCTGGTCATACGCGACTTGTGAGATGCACCCCCTCCCCCACCAAGTGTGTTATGATCTGTCGAATTTGGTAATAACCCCATGCTAAATGGTTACCTTGCTGTGCATAAAGACGGTTGTTAGGGATTTCATGGCAGGATAAGGTAAGCGGTGTTGGAAGTTAATTTCTGGAATATGGCATTAAAGTGCCAGTAGATGTAATCAGGAAAAGTATGTTATGATGAGTGAGGCACAAAGTGGAAGGCAAGGTTATTTAAGACAGAAGTATAAGTGGCTATGCAGAGGTCGGTAACCTAAGGAATCTAAGGATTGTGGAATACAGTAAGAGCAGACATTGGGGGTCGGATGGCGACTTTGCAACTGCAGTGAAATCTAGCAGAAGGAAGAAGGAAATGTCGAGGTGTGGTAACATCAGCAACCGTGGCCATGAACTCTAGATTTCACGTCATATACCTGATTAACTATTGCACGATTGAAGACGTTCAAATACCTGGTAAAGAGCATTACATTATTCTTTGTAGACTATTCATTTTTTTAAACATTGTGCCTGCATGCGAATGTCTTACAAATGGTGATGACAACAGTGATTTCCCCTATAAAGAGGCAAACTGTCACAACATACCAGTGGCATTGCAGGCATTACAGTCACACTCCGTTTATCCTCGGTAGCTGGAGGGGTGGGTACCCCGGTTCCTGATATCTGGGGTCCCAAACGGAGATTAACTCATTTATCCGTGGGGGAATGACCACGGATAATCCCAGATAATTCTAATTTGTCGGACTCTCCAGCGACTGAAATATCCCTCCAAAACAGGTTACATCAGCTGTTAGGCAGTTAGAGTATTTGACTACGTTCTCGAGGTTTGTGCCTTATGCAGCAAGGTGGGCTACGTTATCTGCATATATGAACTTACAAGATGATGTACATGGCAAGTCACTTATATACGTGTTAAACGGTGAAGGTGCTTCAACGGAGCCTTGGAAGGAGGCCATTGTTCATAATGACCTCGTGGCTGTGTTTGCCAGTGAGGTGTTCCCTGACAGTATGGTTGCCAGGCGTACAGCAAAGAACGCCATCTGACGATGTTGGCCAACGTCAGTAGCAGGCCATGATGCCGACCAGTGTCGTGCGCAGCAGAGAGGTGTAAACCCATGCCCACCGTGTCTCGCTTTTGGGGCTGTGATCCTCACCAAAGAACAACACAGGGGTGGTTATCATTCAATCAAATTGTCAATGTTGGGTATTGCGCATGCGTTGTCTTCTCGCTCCTGTCACTCGATGGCCTCAGGACACCCCACGTTTTACTCGAGGGTTGCAGCGCATCCCACTATCTCTCGCTCGTCACGTCAACTGCACACAATATTCCATGAAGCCCTCTCCCTCCCCCTGCATGGGGAGGGGGGGGGGGGATTCGTCTTATAGAAATCATCCAGCGGCATTGCAGAGTAAGTCAACTCTGCAATGCTGCTTCAAAAGATGTCCGAATATTCTTGGTGCTTTCGGTAAAGTCACGTAGAAGGGAAATCATATTCGTAATATATTTGTATTATTATTCCCCTTCTACGTGACTTTACCGAAAGAACCAAGAATATGAATCCCTGCAGTCACGAAAGCTTTAAATCGAAAGATGTCCGAAATGAATGTTGGGTTTTCCCGTCGGTCAGACTGAGCGAGGGATTGGCACTACCCTTGACCTTTACAGTGTCCCTCGCCGTACCCACGAGTCTCGACTGGAATCTCCTTGGACTGCGCATCTGCATACCCGGTCAACCCATACTGTTTACTCCGTATTCTTGTACAGGGAAATTTAGTTTTCAGGTCCACACGGCGTACAGCTGTTTAAATATTGGCAAAATGTATTTTGTCTATTTCTTTGTGTTTCTCCCTTGTGATGGGACGTTATAGGATGAACGTTGATATTTATAAGGGCACAGGGTGATCAATAAGGTGTGAATTGGTCTGTAATAAGGTAGGGCACTGTGATAAGGGGTTGACAGGTATGCATCTGGTGGTCGTCCTCCACTTTCTAAGGAATGTCTCCATCAACTCCCACTCCGACAGGCCGTCGGTCATCGACGCAAACCGCAAAAAAAAACTCCGACGAATGCCGACGACACGACGACTACAAAACAACAACAAAAAAGGTTGAATAGATAGAGGAGGAAAAAAATAAAGCAAGACAATCCTTTAAATCGGAAAGGGAATACATCAAGTGAGGGATCAGTAGGGGAAACATGGCGTGCTTGTGTGTCTTGGTTGTAAGAGTAGGGTGGAATCAAATGCTGGCAAGCAAAAGCTTACCTTTCACGACCCGTCCATCAGGTACTTGAATGCAAGCAATGTGCAAAACACTCCTGGCCACACAGCAGCATGCAGGACTGGTGCCTGAGAGTGAATGCAGCACTGTGTGCAATGCGATGCGAGTGCTGCCGCAATTGGGCAATTGCTTCCGAGGGTTGGGTATGTGAAGGGAGCTTGCTCGCCATCATCACCTTAGGAGAGCACCCGACGGGCAAGCACCTTCAATAATGAAGTGCAAAAATACGCTGCATTGGCATTTGCGCCCATACTTGATTTGGCGGCAGGGGGCGATCCTCGGGTCTGTTCACTCACTTTACCCTTGACAACCCCGGATACTTAAAATAATTTGCCGAATAATTACATTTATCCGTGATCCTGACCCCGGATAATTAGAAATATTTGCCGAATAACTCCGTTTAACTGTGGTCTTGGCCCCCGGATATTTGGATGGCCATGGCCCCCGGATATTTGGAAGAGAATTCCGGATTTTGCCAACCCCTGAAAAACAAATTCACGAATAATCTGGTCACTGAAAAACGGAATGTGGCTCTATAGAAAGGTGTCTGTCAACTAGAGTGTAAACGTTGATGTTTAAGCATCGGAAAATG